AGCCACCGTGGTTTGTTTGCCGAGCAGGGTTTATAGCTTAGCAGGTACACTCAGTCCCATGTGGCTTACTCAACCAACTGTGGTTCATGCCAACCATTGCCTCAGCACAACGTAGAAGCCGGTGATGGCAAAAGGGGAAGCAGCTTGGGGTGGCCTCCTTGAGGCAGGGGGTTGTTGGAAGATTTATTACATTCCAGTCAGAAAGTTTTGCCTCTCAAGTCTATCTCCTACCTCTACTCCCCCACCCCCCAACAAACCACCCCCAAGGCCTGGAAGCTTTGGCCACACCTGCCTTTCTCTGTCCTCAAGGGCAAGCTGTGGGCCCCACCGGTCAATCCCAACCTTCTTTTGATTGGCAGGAGACAATCCATTGCTTGTTTCCAGAAGGCCCCCCCTAACTCCAATTCCCGGCTTCTTCTTCATCTCTTCTTGGACAGTCGAAAAGGTTGTCCACTTTTAGCCTGGCCCCTTGACCATGGCTTGGCCTTCAGGTAGAAGCACAGTGGAGGAAGTATCAAGTTTCGAGTGCTTTGAAGGACTCTGTTGAAGGAAGCTCTCGACTCTCCTCCTTGAAAAGGCTCTCCTGAGAACACAGCTCCACCTTCTCTCCACATCCCATCCCATCCCTTCCCTCCTTTCCCGGTACAGTCAGTCAAGGCCGTCTTCTCCAAGCTGGTGCCCTCCGGATGGACCGCTCCAAATCCCATAATCGTTAGCCCGTACTGCCAAGGGGGATGATGTGATCGGACGCCCCGGTAAATTTGGAAGCCACCAGCTTGGGAAGGGCCATCTTGGTGAAATGCTTCCACGGAGCACCTGGATTTCCTATGCTGAACATTTTTTTAAACAGAAGCAATTGGTTTTCTAGTTTTACTATTTATTGAATAACTTTTAGAAGGGCTATCTTTTTATAGTCGTACAATTGGTAGTGTTTTTTTTTTTGTGTGCGTGTGTGTTCTTTTACTTTGTTCCTTTCTTTTTTTCCTCTCTCAATAATGCTGGAGATATTTGCCCTCTCTTGTGCTCTGTATGTGTAAATAACCATGTTTTGGATCCTGTGTGTAAGTGAGAGGAAGGAGACGTTTCCAAGCCAGGAGAGAGAAAACAGTGGAAATGAACGGAGGGGACCAGCCGAAGTTCTAAGCTCAGCTCCCAAGTCCAGTTGAAGTCTATTTTAACGCCAATGTATGGGATGGGGAAGGGAGGGAAAAGAGACCACGGACTGCGGGATTCAAGAGCTGCAGCGAAAGCACCCAAATGTTTTGTAACTGATGATTTTTTCCCCCAGAATTCCTTTGCTCTTCTTCCCAAGGCCATCTGCAAAAACAAACACACAATTCTGAGCCTGAGATTAAATTAGCCACAGCCTCACCACTGCTTCAGAGTTGCCTCTTACAATTTCTTTCGTGAAGCGGGGAGGGTGGGGGAGATCTCAAAACACAGCAGAATTGTGGGTGCAAATTTGGGGCATCCAAATTTGGGCAGGGAATGTTCTTTGCAATGCTTCTGGTTTCAAATGCTTTCTGCTCTGATTGTGAAAATGGATAAGGCTGAAACTGTTTTTTAACCTCAGCAAATTTTAAGGGTGCGGACTTCTAACTCCCAGAATTCCCCAGCCAGCATGGGTTTGACCAGATTTTGAATCTACACATCTGAAAGCGGCTAAGATTTGAGAAATGCCGTACTGGACTAGGAAGTGGGGGACAAATGGCCATCCAGATGTTGTCAAGGTACACATCACAGCATCCCTCCTGTCAGATCTCAAGAACGACACATGGAATTACTTTAAAGTATCTTCGTTTATTGTTCCTCACCCAGGGGTGAAATCCAGCAGGTTTTGACAGGTTCTGGAGAACCAGTAGCAAAAATTTTGAGCAGTTTGGAGAACCAGCAAATACCACCTCTGGCTGGCCCCAGAGTGGGGTGGGAATGGAGATTTTGCAATATCCTTCCCTCAGGAGTGGGGAGGGAATGGGGATTTTACAGTATCCTTCCCCTGGAGTGGGGTGGGAATGGAGTTTTTGCAGTATCCTTCCCCTGCCACACCCACCAAGCCATGCCGACAGAACTGGTAGTAAAATAATTTGGATTGCACCACTGTCCTGACCTATAGACAGAATCTTGCCAGAGTACAGCAACTATTTGCAGAACTACAGATCTACTCTGGGAAAAGCTAGGGAGGAGAGTCCCTTGGGAGTTGGGCGGCATAGAAATGTGATAAATTAAATTAAATTAAATTAACCCTCTTCCTCCTAAGCAAACTGTCTAACTTTCACTGCCTTGTTGCCCTCTAGAAAGTGGCCCCTCCCTCCTGGGAATCCAGACTACATTTCACCATAGTGCTCCACTGTCCATTCCATCAAGGCTATGGATTCCCTTGTCTCTCAGCTTTCCTCCATTGAAGAGTGGTGGCCACAGACTTATTTCCAGCAGAGAGAACCTCTAATGTTGGGGAGGATCACCCTCCAGCACCTATTTTATGCCCTGCCAGCGAGTAGGGCAAGGCACCTAATCCAGATTACCAATTTGTTAGTACTGAAAGAGAGACATTTCCACAGCCAGGTAGGGCTAAGTGTGCAATTAACAGCATCAAGTTGGCATAAAGAGCCTGGTGGCGCAGCAGACTAATAGCCTGTTATTAACATTCAGCTGCCTGCAATCACTGCAGGGTTCGAATCTCACCAGGCTCAAGGTTGACTCAGCCTTCCATCCTTTCTAAGGTGGGTAAATTGAGGACCCGGTTTGTGGGGGCAATAAGCTGACTTTGTATAAATATACAAAAGTATGAAGGCTATTGCTTAACTCATTGTAAGCCGCCCTGAGTCTCCGGAGAAGGGCGGCATATAAATCAAATTTTTTAAAAAAATAAAGGGTGAAATAGATTGATGCTTAGAGAAAAACGTAGGTAGACAAAGTTCAGCTAGGGTTGTTTGGGGCACAGGTGGGCTTTGCCAAAACAATGTTTTGGTTGCTTTTGGTGGGTTGTTGTTTTTTTAGTGGAACTGCTAAATCAATAAGTCCCTTCGAACTCCGTTATTCTCTTCTGTACTGACTGTGAAAACCCAACCAGTCAAAATAAAAACTCACAAAATGCCCCTCAATTTATGATACAGGTGAAGGAAGAGAATTTGGAAAATCCATTTTTGAAGTTAGCTAATAACGCGCCAAACGTTCAAAATATTCCCAAAAGTAAAATGAGCCATAAATCATCCTGTTAAAAACACTAGCATATTTATCTTTATCCACTTAATATTGTAGGCTTGAATTCTTCATATAAAAAAGGTAAAAAAAAAAAAAAACAACCTTAAGGCCCAAACAACCTTTTGATTGTTGAATAATTATGGACAGAGACATTTTTCATTTGTTCTAAAATTCTTCACCATGTAAGTAAACTGAAACTTATTTGAATTAGAGACCAGAACCAGAAATGCTTGGCAATTTTTAAACAATCTTGGGACTCTTTTATCCTGGATCAAATCCATTCAGTAAAAAGAGCAGAAATGCAAAGAGCTGGATTTTATGGAGTACGTTTTGAGAAATCCTAGCGATCTGATTTATTCTGGAGTAAGCTTAATTACGTTCCAAATCTTACAAACAGAAGCCCAGGAATAATTGTAAGGATTTTCTAGACATGCCGGGTCAAAGATTTATCAACCTTCCCATATTCCAATTCCCATGGAAGATTCTTCCATATTCAGGAAAATTATTTAACATTTTCAGCTTGTGTCCCATAAAAACCTCTCCCAATATTTAAAAACTTGGTCTGAACTGTAATAGTTGTAATGAAAAGTTCTGTTCTGTTGCAAGCTGAGATCCAACATTCAAGAAACATGGAAATTCAATTAAAAAGTGATCTAGGTACATTTGGGCTGATATTGGAACAGAATTCAGGAAATTACTCCGATTAGCCAATTCTGTGTAAACTACCTTCTCTAAATGTCTGTGGAGAGTCTCAATCATCCCGGTCATGGTTGTCTCTAAGGTGAATTTTCCAAAAGGCAACTGGAATTTCTTGGTATTTTCTTGAAAACGTTTTGTTTCTCATCCAAGAAGCTTCACAATGGTTTTTTTTAAAAAAAAAGATACCAAGAAAGTCCAGTGGCCTTTTGAAAAAGCACCTTTCCGACAATCATGACCTGGATGACTGAGAATCTCTCATAGACAGGTACCTTCACTAAACAGAATTGAAGGGGATCCGTTCATTTTTCCAGAAAGCCATTTAATTAACAATATGTGAACCAACTTTATCTGAAATGGCCACTGGTGGAAATGTTTGTATTTCAAGAACTACAGGTAGTCCTTGAGTTACCACCACAATTGAGCCCAAAATTTATGTTGCTAAGTGAAAAAGCTGTTAAGTAAGTTTTGCCCCATTTTATGACCTTTCTGGCCACAGTTGTTAAGCGAATCACTGCAGTTGTTAAGTTAGTAACACAGTTGTTAAGTGAATCTGGATTTCCTCCACTGACTCTGCTTTTCAGAGGGTCGCAAAAGCTGATCACGTGACCCCAAGACATTGCAACGGTCACAAATATAAACCAGCTGCCAAGCATCTGAATTTTGATCATCTGACCATGGGGATGCTGGAATGGTCATAAGTTTATAAAATGGTCATAAGTCACTTTTCCGTGCCATTGGTCAGCTGGTTTTTGGGCCTTCTGGGCCCACAGGAAGTTGGCAAACAGGCTGTTTCCGGCCTCTGGTGGGGTGGGGAAGGCTGTTTTCGTTCTCCCCAGGCTCTTAGAAAGCCTCTGGAGCCTGGGGAGGGCAAAAAAATGGGCCTACCGTGCCCACCATGCTGTCACATGCCAAAAGTGGGGGGGAGCATGGAATCGCGCGCGCATGCATGGGACAGGGTGCCTAATTATGGATGTGGGCGCGCGCGCGCGTGACTACCCCGCACTCCCCCAGCTTTTGGCACGCAATGGGAAAAAGGTTAGCCACTCCTGCATCTCTCTTGTGACGTTGTTCTACAGGAATAGTAAACAGTAACACTGAAAAATGCTCACTATTTTTAATGAACATACAGACGTGTCCAAACGTACAGGAAAATATATATATTCACAAGAGTGCCATAAATACACTGTCAACAAACAGCAGAGCAGAATCCTGGGTTTTAAACGGAGAAGGGCTGCCACTGCAGCTGGGAGATAATTTAGCCAATTCCACCAATACAACAGAAGTCTGTTTGTGGCTAAGACACACTAACATGTCCAGGTGGAGAAAATGAAAAGAAGGGTGCTCTAAAAGAATTTCGAACCCCAAATACTTCTATCACCCTTCTTATCATTTTTTTCAAACCGAACCCATTTTTGGTTAAAAACAGAATTTAATTTTTTTAGGTTGCCGTTGGTCCAATTGATCGTCAGGGTGGCCAGCGATTCCACACGCTCCCCCAAAAGCCGAGGTTTTCACATCAGACGGATGAAATGGTGCGTTCGTTTTAACGGTGGTACAGAATAAGAGACAGTTTCACGTTCTTGTGACGAGATTTACAGGACACAGTTTCTTTGCTAGTCTCAGAAGAGATGCTCAAATGCTCCTAACTAACAGCTAATTGCTTCATCGACGCTGGTTGAGGCCGCTGAGATTCTTGAACTGTCAGATACAAAAATAATAAAACATTAAAAAAAAAAGTGAGGGAGACCATAAGAAAGTTAGAAGCTGCAAGCATGCAAAATGGGATAATACTGTTAGTCCAGGGGTGGGCAAATATGGCCCCTTTATGACCTGTGGACTTCAACTCCCAGAATTCCTGAGCCAGCTTGGCTGTCTCAGGAATTCTGGGAGTTGAAGTCCACAGGTTGTAAAAGGGCCACAGTTGCCCACCTGTGTTAGTCATTTCACGACAGTGATCCTTCCAAGCAATGATTTTTAAGCAGGGCTGCTTGAATGTTGATCCAAGCAATATTGCTTAAAAACCACCAATTTGTCAAAACTAGTTTGGGCATTCCAGTTCATAGGAGATGTGAAGGGATCCCCCAAACACCTGATGGTAGCTTTGGGAAACAGGAATACAATATCTGATGTCAAATATGTGACAGGACTAGAACTCACCATCTCTCGGTGATTAGCCCTAAATCACCCAACTGGCTTTCATGCCTAAGACAACACTAGTGTCAAGTTTCGAGGTCGTCTCAAATAAATTGCATTTCAAACAAAGTCTTTGAAGAAAAACTCCTATTTATTAAGCACGACATTCTAAACCCAACTCCATCGAAGCCAACACTGACTTCCAGCCCCAAAACCCTCCCTTTCCGTTCCCCACTCCCCTGCACTCATTGGCCATCTTCTAAGTCATTCTACCCCTAATCTACCACTCCAGCTCAAAGGAATGTCCCGCCTCCCATCCCATCTCCTAGGAGATATTATCTTCAGGGAAAATAAGTAGGTGAAAAGTCAAACGTCCCTTTCCAGACGCCTTCGCTTCTCCTTCTTATGTCAGCACTAGAGTAAATGCAGCTTGAAGTGCTGACAACTAGAGCTCACCGTCTCCTGGTGATTAGCCCTAAGTCACCCAGCCAGCTTTCATGCCTAAGGCAGGACTATCTCCATCTCCTGGTGATTAGTCCTAAGTCACCCAACCAGCTTTCATGCCTAAGACTAGACTAGAACTCACCGTCTCCTGGTGATTGGCCCTAAGTCACCCAACCAGCTTTCATGCCTAAGACAGGACTAGAACTCAGTCTACTGGTTTCCAGCCTGATGCCTTAACCACTAAATCAAAATGCCATACCAAGAATAAACTCCCAATAGCAAACTCCTGGACTTCTTGAGCGAACTGGCTAAGGAATTTAACAAAACGTTAGGCTGGAATTAAAGCACCCTTCCTCCATTCTGCTATTAAGTAACCTAATCCCATTAAAAGAAGTGAAGGCTTCTTCCTTTAAATTAACCGGGAAATTAATTGAGACAAAGGGGCTTGCTGCAGGTTATTTGTTACCTGTTTCTGCAAAGATTATTCTGAGATGAAAAGCATTCTGCTAAAACTAGTCATCCCTAGGAATTACGTATTTCGGGAAAATTCATTATTTTGGGCAGCTCCCATATCCCATCCAATCCCTTTTAAAGAAACCATGATACTTTGCTGCGTTTTTCCATTCTGTAACAGCAGAAACATTCTCCAGGGAAAGACTGTTTCCGAGCAAAGGCTGTGGAAAATCCTGTGTCTGGAATTACTCACAGTAACAGCAGCGCCCATAAGTCCCTGAAGAAGGGCCTCTCCGGTTGCCTTAACCTAGAAGAATAAAACCACAGAGACGGAAAACTTCAACTACAAGCCGGCTTGTAGAAAAGCAATCAGGAAGCAGCCCCAGTGGTGCTCTCCTGCTGTGTTGAAGTCTCAGTATTTCCCACCAACATGGCCTTAGCATACAGGTAGTCCTTGATTTACGACTGTAGTGGATCCTAATACGCCTACCCGGTCATAAAGCAGGCCATCATGTGACCCAATGGTAGGGCATTTATTGGCAGCAGTCGTTAAGTGAATGCAGTGAGTGGTGCGGTGGCTTAGAGGTGGGAACTCTCACCTCACAATCAGGAGGCTGTGAGTTCGATCCTAGGTAGAGGCAGATATTTCTCTCTCTGGGCACAATGAGAATATATCTGTTGAAAAAAAAACTCCGCATTGGTGACAGGAAGGGCATCTGGCCAGGAAACACTCAGCTGCATTCAGTTGCCCAGACTCTACCCCGCAAGGGATTATGAAGTCATTAAAAGATGTTTAAGCGAATGCAGTCGTTGCAAAGCAAACACCATGGTCATTAAGCAAACGCATTGTTTGCTATGTTTGCCGAAAACCAAAAGCAGACACTTTATTTATTTATTTATTGGTTCGATTTATATGCCGCCCTTTTCCGGAGACTCAGGGCGGCTTACAATGCAGTCACATGACCACGAGGCACCGCAAACTACATTATTATTATTATACTTTATTGCAAGTGACAACGTATGTACAATGAGATTGGTTGAGTTCGCATAAATGCAGGCCAGTTGCGGAGAGCCCAAAACGGTGGCGCTGAGCTCTGAGTCTGGTGGCTCAGCAGACTAAAGCACTGTTATTAACATCCACTTACATCTGCTGCCTGCAATTACTGCAAGTTCGAATCTCGCCAGGCTCAAGGTTGACTCAGCCTTCCATCCTTTCGAGGCAGGTGAAATGAGGACCCAGTTTGTGGGGGCCATAAGCTGATTTTGGATAAATATACAAAAGTATGAAGGCTATTGCTTAACGCATTGTAAGCCGCCCTGAGTCTCCGGAGAAGGGCTGCATATAAATCAAATTAAAAAAAAAAAATGGTCATGGGATCAGAGGGAGGCCCTGTGGCCATCAGAACTTCAGAACCAAGTCGTAAATACCTTTTGGGTCCACTGTAACTTCAAACAGTCACTAAGCAATTGGTTGTAAATTGAGGACTACCTGTACGCAATCTATCTTAAAGGCACGGTGGGATGTGGGCAGGATGCTGCTGCTCCAGAGAAGCAACCAAGCACCTCATCTGGTTGGAGGTATTTTGAGAAGTTTCAATCTCAGGGTCTTAGCAGGATCCAAAAAAATACACATCAATCTACAGACACAAGTGGAGGTGAAATAAAATGGATTAATTCTGGGGCTACTGCTGTGACTTAAAAGAGGACTTGCCAGAAACGGACAGAGAAAGATTGCCAAGCAAATTAGCTTGATTTAATGCGGAAGCTCAATAAAGCATTATGAATAGTGCCCCTCCCCCCTTTTTAAAATCGAGTAAGACACACATATCTTGCCATTCAAGGTGTTGGTAATCACCTGTAAAGCCCTCCATGGCTTTACATGTCTCATCCCATTGGGATTGGTCCCCCCCCCACCCGTGCCAGCAGAGGAGGCATGTTGAGGGCCCCATTGGCCAGGGAATTCCAGCTGGTGGGGTGCAGAAGGACCTCCTCTGCTGTCGCACCTGCCCTCTGGAACATCTTTCCCCCTGGAGTGAGGTCCTCTCCAACCCTCCTGACCTTCTGCAGGAACCTAAAGACCTGGCTCTGCTAGTTGGCTGAGGCTCCGAAGGAGGAGCTTCGCATTGGAGGTGGCTGACAGATTAATATCACCTCCTCCCCCTGCTCATCCTCCTCCCTCCCTCCCCATCGTTTAGCTATGACCGGGTATTGAATTTTGTATTATTATTTTATTTATATAGTTTTATCTTTTTAATATTATAAGGAGCCCAGTTACCCTGCGGTAAGATGGGAGCCAACAAATGTGATAGACAGACAGACAGACAGACAGATGGATGGATGGACAGAGATAGATAGATATAGATATAGATAGATGATAGACAGAGATAGATATAGATATAGATGATAGATAGACAGAGATAGATAGATAGATAGATGATAGACAGAGATAGATAGATAGATAGATAGATAGATAGATAGATAGATAGATAGATAGATAGATGATAGACAGACAAAACTCCTCCACACAACACACACAAAAGCATGTACTGCCAAATTATGGGAGCACGAGCAACACCTTGCGATGAGCCACACAAGCATGGGCAGTCTCACCATGGCATGGGGCAGCTTTCAGGCAAGACTGACCATGTGCCATCTTTTTGAATGGGCTGTAAATGCCAGAGGGTCAATCCACATTTTCATAAATGATTTGCTTTTCTGTCGCACAGACATGGCAACGTCCTTTATTTGGGGGATTGAAAATCTTTTAAAAAGACAACGGCAGAACTGGAGGATGGGGCCAAAGAGAAACTGCGGACTAAGGTTGAAAAATGTGTGCAGGTAAAAGGAAATAGCACAGTTCAAGACAGTGTGCTACTTCTGTAGAAGGAGATGTATGTCTTAGCTTAAATTTACTTTAGATTCTTTTTCTGTGTGCTGTTAAGTGAAGCCCAATGCCCAACAGCTATTCCATTCTTCAACCTGGGCAAGAAAAAAATATTAATTTTATCTACAAACTTCTAGGAGGATGTTAAATGACATCATCCCCTCGAAGGAAGAAAATATTCATTTCTAGCAAACCAGCAGTATCCTACACAGTAGTCAACCTGGATAATTTATTTTCCAATTTCTTTTGGATTTTCTGTTTAGTATTTCCCCGAAAATAAGAGCCTGTCTTATATTTTTTTGAGCTCTGAAATAAGCGCATGGCCTTATTGCCATGTGTTCAAAAGCTTGATTGGGATTATTATCAGGGGATGTCTTATTTTGGGGAAAACAGGGTAGCTAATCCTGATCAAAACAACTATACAAGTCTTTGCCTATAGCACCAAATGTATCCGTGTTAACTTTAAAATTGAAAAGTTGTGGGGGAAAGATATTTTATGTCTTTTTTTTTAAAGGAAGTTTCCTTTTATTTATCTCTGATGAGATTAGTCTATCCCTCAAGGAAGGAAGGAAAGTCTGAAACCTAGTAACATAGCTAAGAAGCAACATTATTGAAATTATTTCAGAGTTTGATTTTTTGACCTTGTCATCTCCAGAAAGGCAGCCCAAGAAAGCCTTGTCAGCCCTTTGAGGTAGAACAGATCAGGAAACAGGCGCAAGAACTATTAAAGCTGGAACCTTCATGGACTACAGCAACAGAATCTTGAGAGTCTGACAAGTATTTCTCTTTCCTACTCTCTTTTAACAGAGAATAAGTAGAAGGTGAGGCAATCTTGATTTTCCTTCTCTCCCTTTCCTGTTTTCCTGAGCTAGGTCCATGATTTCCTAATGGCTGCTGCATCTTTTCATGAAGGCCATCTCCGTAATCCTTTATACCCACTGAGATTTGGGGAGATAGAGGAAACACTTCCTGGGAAGACAGGTGGAAAGCAGCAGGAACCAGCAAGACGGAATGGGACAACTAACTGCAGCCAATTCACCTTGGGACAACTCGCTGCAGGACAATTCAACAATTCAATTTAATTATTTCAAATAATTTAAAAAATATTTTTTAATTTTTGTCACTCACATTTCATTTTGCCCTTCCTTTGGCATCCTTTCTTTAATAGCAATAGCAATAGCGCTTAGACTTATATACTGCTTCATAGTGCTTTAACAGCCCTCTCTAAGCAGTTTACAGACTCAGCCTCTTGCCCCGAACAATCTGGGTCCTCATTTTACCCACCTCGGAAGGACGGAAGGCTGAGTCAACCTTGAACCTGGTGAGATTCGAACTGCCGAACTTCTGGCAGCCGGCAGTCAGCAGATGTAGCCTGCAGTACTGCATTCTAAGCACTGTGCCACCACAACTCTCATCTTAATGATTCTATTCCACTATTTCTTCAATATTAGTGTAACTCTTGTCCTGCAGAAGTTGCCCCGCGGCAAGTTGTCATTGACCCCCAGCAAGCTGCTAACTCAGAGCAGGAGGTGGGGACAGGGTGCAAAGTCCCAGGGGAAATGTGGGAGGGGAGGTTTGAACCGCACAGCGCTCCATTTTCTGATTTCAGCATGTCTATCGCAATATATACTGGACAGAGGGAGAGAAATGGTAGCTCTAGATAGCAGATGCTACACAATTACTGTATGCCTTTGCATAACTTCTGCTCTCTTATGGGATCCTGCCCCCAAGCCATGTGTTAAACTCATAATGATCCCAAGGAGTACAAGGTTCAACCTCCCCTCACCCCCATCCTGCGAGCAGGAAGACTTCTTCGGAATATACATAGATTTTCATATAAGAGCTCCAAACCAGAGGAAAATGAGCTCATTAATACTTTAGGCACCAGAAAATGGAAACTTAAAGAAAACTGCTTGAAAGATGTGCAGTCATAAGAGGAATGTGATATTTTTTTTAAAGTGCTCGGGACACCATGTGCCAGAAACATTTGGGTAAAAGTAATACTAAAAATAAACTATGTGCTTGATCAAAAATTACCTGGTTTATTGCGGCTTTTCCCTCCAAATAGGCTGGAATTTCAGCTCCCAAAATTTCCAGCCAGCCTTTGGAGGACATCAAGGCGGAAAACAAAATGACATTAGGTTACTTTTGTGAGTTTGGAGGGTGGAGGGGAGGGAAGAGAGCTTGGTTGTCTCCTTGGAAAACCTGCGTGGCACAAGGGTCAGCTGGTCATAAATTCACAATTACAACTCACCTGCTTAGCTGTGTGGCCCACGTTCATTGCGTCAGCCACTCTGTTGTATAGGAAGGACCAAGTATCCTCAAAATCCGGGGAGGAATCCTGAATCATCACCAGTTCTGTGGTGTTATAAATTCCGGCCAGTATTACTCGGCGAGTGTACCAATTTATCTGCAAGATCGGGAATTAAGAGACTCAGAAGATGCGAGTTCCAATAGCAAATGAAGGTCTTTGCAAACTGCGTTGGTATGAAACTCCTACCCATGTTTTTAATCACAATTGGAGGGTCATTTGTCTATTCCATAAAAAACAAACACAGACACACATGCATTTAGATTTCTGGTTGAACGTATCATGAAAAGTGAGTTCTACAAACCTGTAATATAATTTTAAACATCAATTAATATGGAAATGTTATTTTTATGTTGCACGGTGTAATGTTGCTCCTATTAAGTCGTTGAGAGAAATGCGTCTACAGAAGCATTGAAATATTATCCTGAAAAGGGGCTTGCTGACTTTCCAAATGAAAGCCACCTAGATCCTGGATGTGTCCCAGATGATTTTGATTGGTCTGGAGAAAAGACCAGACGGTGGTGGTTTTCACTTGAGCTGAAAAACAAGCTGGCCCTAATCTTTGTATCTGGCAATTAACACATCACACTGCAAGGTCTGGTCAGATCATTTTATTTCTGGTCACTTAATAAACACACTCTAGAAAACCTTATGGAAAAATACAAGCCTGAAGGAATGCACAGGAGGCAAGATTTTGCTGTTAAGAGGCTATAACTCTATAATCACTTATACATGAAATGCAACACAATTAACCCAATACTCTCACCACAATATAAATAATGGATGGAAACTAATCAAGGAGAGAAGCAACCTGGAATTGAGGAGAAACTTCCTAATAGTGAGGACAATTAACCAGTGGAACAGCTTTGCCTCCAGAAATCGTGGGTGCTCCATCACTGGAGGTTTTTAAGAAGAGAATAGACAGTCATTTGTCTGAAATTGTATAGGTTCTCCTGCTTGAGGAGGGGGCTGGACTAGAAGACCTCCAAGGTTCTGTTCTGTTCTGTTCTCCACTCCACTCTATTCTTGTCACAGCGCTAATTACAACTGCACTAGTGCACTGCACTATAACACTGAACATAAAAGTGTTAGCTGAAGAGGAATAGAAGCTTTGCCAGAAAAGCTACTGCAAAGTTATCTGTGGTGAAGAGACATAATGAGCCATATCCAGAATTTCCTTCAAGTGCAAGAGAAACTTAACTATAACTATGAAAAATCTACATATATAAAGACGCACAATAAGGAATAGGCTGCTTTGCACTAACTTCGGTGATGCTAGAAGCATTTTTGGCCGTGGCTATGCAAGTTGTGGTTGCATTACTTCAAAGCAGAGATCTAATGGTATTATATTCATGCTATCACTGTAGATTCTCTACCCTGGAGACTTTGAATCGCCTCTTTGGGAGAGAGGCTACAAGCTACATTCATTGAAGCAGAAGGGAGAGGATGGCTAAAGCTTTTAAAGCTTCTTGGTTTTACTGTTTTAACATTTATTTATTTTTTATGTTATTGTTTTATCATGATGTCAGCTACCCAGAGTCGCTCAATAGCTGAGATGGGCATTGGGCAGCATATAAATTTAATAAATAAAGGGAAATAAAAGCAGGCACCCTATCAGCAATTTCCTACCGATTGGGAGGGAGTGTTATTTTACAAGTCACCGAGATTCCTGAGGCACCATAGAATTAAGAACAGCTTTCTTTAAAGCTTGATTTTAAAGAAAACTGTTGACTTTTGACTTGGGAAAAGTGCAGAGAAGAGCAACTAAGATGATTAAGGGCCTGGAGACTAAAACATACGAAAAATGGTTGCAGGGTTTGGGTATGGATAGTCTAGAGGAAAGACGGATTTGGGGGGACATGATAGTTCCAGTGTACCAATATTTGAGGGGCTGCCACAAAGAGGAGAGGGTCAACTTATTTACCAAAACACCAGAAGGTAAGAGAAGAAACAATGGATGGAAAGTAATCAAGGAGAGAAGCAACCTGGAATTAAGGAGAAACTTCCTTACAGTGAGGACGATTAACCAGTGGAACAGAAGTTGCCTTCAGAAATTGTGGGTGCTGCATCACTGGAGGCTTTTAAGAAAAGACTGGAACTGTCACTTGTCTGGTTAAGGGCAGTGGTGGGTTGCTATCAGTTCTCCCAGGTTCTTGCGAACCCGTAGTGGAAATTTTGAGTAGTTCGGAGAACCGATAAATACCACCTCTGCCTGGCCCCACCCCCAATCTATTCTCTGCCTCCTGAGTCCCAGCTGATCGGCTAGAAGGAAAAAAATCAAGGCTCACTTGACAAAGAAGAGAGAGAGAAAAAACAAGACACCATCGCTTTAAATTGAGAGGCCAAGAAGCCTCTCAACTGATCGGCTAGAACCGATCCGCTCCTTGTAAACCGCTCAGTGGTGGTAGATTGGCAACTGAGGCCAAGCTGCCTGAAAGCGGTTTCCGGTGCTCTCGGTGGAGGCAGAGCGGCAAAAAACTGTTTAAACTCTTGCCACGGCGCTTCAAAGGGCTGCCCTACAGTTGATCAGCGGTAAAAGGCAGTGTGGTGGTAGACCAGTGCGCTCCAAAAACAAATGGGTAGACCGGTACGGCACTGCAAGCAGTTAAAAGTCTGGTAGACCAGTACCTCTGCTAAATCCTAAAGAATTGTTTGTCACATGACCATCAAGCCACGCCCACAGAACCGGTAGTAAAAATTTTTAGAACCTACTTCTGGTATAGGGTCTCCTGCTTGAGCAGGGGGTTGGACTAGAAGACCTCCAAGGTCCCTTCCAGCTCTATTCCGAATTGAACTGACAGAGACAGGTAACTTGGAAGCGAGTCTATAGTTTCCAAGCAGACTTTCACTTTCCATTCCAAGCTATCCGGTGTGGGAAAAGGCATTCATTTTCAGTTCTATAAATGTTGCATCTTGTGCTGCCTCAAAGTGCTGCACTGATAAATTAGAAACAGCAAAAAAAAAAAAAAAAAACCAGTTGCCCCCCCTAATTTCCAAGACAGCAGAAGGAGAAAAAAGTAAACCAGACTCTCTTGTGGAAGCTGAATTTCTTAAAAGCTCCACTACAATTTGCATACTCTTCAGAAAAAAAACGTTAGCTTCCTGGTGTGATTTCTGTCTTTTATTTGGCTTTCTGGTTTATTCCTTTAATTTGTCCGTGTGCCATTTATTTGTTACTGCAGTAGCTGCTGTTTTATTCTTGCACGGGTTTATTAAAACCATTTATTAAAAGGACCTGCTAAGCTCTTCTTATCTCTTTCTTCTCTTTATAATAGGTCAAGTAGTTCATTAATTGCTTTAATTAAGAAGTAATTTACTTTGTTTTTATTTCCAGCCCAAAAAAAATCCAATGGCTCTCATCATTAAGAACGGAGTATTTTAGGTAACTGCTTTAAAAAGTTTCCAAGCAGAATCTTTCCTTTTCTTCCATCCTGGATGGAGGGAACCCGAAGAGCAGAACTACTGGTAGGTTTCAACTGGGCAAATGCCCGATTCCACTCTGGGTACCCCTAAGATAAAGACCCCACCCCACCCCTTATTTGCTGTCTTCTACCAAAAGAGAGTTCCAAGAGGAACATTTGAATGCAGCATGGATTTTATTCATTGGCAGAATTAAACCAATTGTGTTATCTGTTTTGATCTGATGATTTACAGTTTGGCAGCGTTCATGGATTTTATAAGCTTGCGTTACATAACACTTTATAGAGGTCTTCAAGAAAGAAAGGGTGATTCATAAATATTAGAAAGACAGGCAAAAAATAGAAACGTAGCCATATCTGGTATATCATTTCAGTACTGCCTGTTCTATAGTACAAATAGAAACGGCTGGTTTTAATTTATAAAACAAAATGCATCTTTTCTAATCTAGAACCAGGGCAGCCTTGATACAGGTAGTCCTCGACTTACAACCACAATTGAGCCCAAAATTTATGTTCTTAAGCAAGACAGTTGTTAAGTGAGTTCTGACCCATTTCATGACCTTTCTTGCCACAGCTGTTAAGTAAATCACTGCAGTTGTTAAGTTAGTAACAGATTGTTAAGTGAATCTGGCTTCCAATTGATTTTGCTGGTCAGAAGGGACCAGCAACTGTCTTAAGTTTGAAAAACAGTCATGTCACTTTTTTCAGTCCCCTTGTAACTTTGAACGGTCACTAAATGAACCGTCGTAAATCAAGGACTATCTGTACTGATGATCTCCAAGCCACTCCTATGGATTAACACCTTTGCTCTCATCTTTTGCTCATGAACCTAACCCGTTTCTCTTTAGAAATGAAGCTTGAGTGTTGCGTACAATATCTCACTTAATTATGCGTTTCTTGGAGAACAGATTTGCCAGGGCGAGTAGAAACAGCCTGAGCATTTCTTCCCCTGCAGTCCACAGCAGCTTGAACCCAGAAGATGGGAGAGAAAACTTTTCTGCAGCCCTGAGTGAAGTCACACCAATCCCGCTAACCTCCCATATTGCTTCCATTTCTGCTGGGCATAATTTTAAGGTGTCGTGCGCCACAGGAACTAAGCAACTGCAACAGGTGGATAGGTATGTCTTATTTCAGCCGGTGTTTCTCAAAACTTAACAACTTCAAGATTTGTAGACTTCAACTTCCAGAATCCCCAGAAGTCTACAGATCTTAAAGTTGCAAAGGTTAAGAAACACCGCTCTAAGCCAGGGCTGGGCAACTATAGTGACTTTATGACCAGTGGACTTCCAACACCCAGAATTCCTCAGCCAGCCAGCCTGGCTGGGGAATTCTGGAAGGAAGGCCACAAGTCTTAAAGTTGCCAAGTTTGGAGACCCCTGCCTTAAGCCATGGTTTACAAGTCACAATATATTAAGCCAAAGCCAAGGGGGTCTAGCCCAACATGTGAACGTTACATTTCACATTTTTTCCCCAAAGGTAGCCCCAAATATATTTGCCCTGCAAAGCAGCGTATTTCAAACCTCCCCATGGCCTTTCTAAATCCCAAATGCCAACCCCCTCCTCAGACTTACATCGGTGGACTGATCTCCCGCATAGTGCCAGATGTCATCCACCATGGTGGTAAGCAGGTTGAAGCTGGCTGGAATATTGTGTGGCATCAGCAACACACTCATAGCCTGAGGAAAACCAGAGAAATGGGTTAAGCAAAGAGGACCGTTCTTAACCTCCGATGCTCCAGCTGTTTTAATCTTCTATGTATTACGGGAGACTTTGGGGAAAAGGGAAAGGAAGGGGGAGAAATGAACCAAGATACCAAACGGATAGCCAAATAAGATAAATTAGGCCAGGGAGATGGAAGTTCCTCCTTTATTCTACAAGCTTAAGCAGAAAGAATCACAGTGGGCTTTTTGCCTTTCTTTTTTCCTAGGCCCGAATTGGGTATGTCTAATCTAGTGAAAAGGAGGACTAGGAATGAAATGATAGCAATCTTCCAATATCTGAGGGGCTGCCACAGAGAGGAGGGGGTCAACGTATTTTCCAAAGCACCAGAAGGCAAATTTCCTGCCAATGAGAAAAAATAACCAGTGGAATGGCTTGCCTTCAGAAGCTACGGGTGCTCCATCGCTGGAGATTTTAAAGAAGAGATTGGACAGGCATTTGTGTGGATAGGGTTTCCTGCTAGAGCAGGGTGTTGGGACTAGAAGACCTCCAAGATCCCTTCCAACTGTGTGTTTCTGTTATTCTGATTCCTGGGACCGTTTAATCGGAGTTAGATGGCTGACAAATTTGTTCTGAATGCTTGTTTGTTATTCATGAATGAGATTCTAGCCCCGGGTACAGAAACGTAAGGTATCAGATATGGTTCTCCATTTTCCAGTCCTTCACTACAACAAAGAGTCCCTCCTTGAGGAGATGGGCAGTTCTGGAATGTGAAAAATTAATTCGTAAACGTTTATTTGTTTACTTGAATTTATAAACCACCCAACTCCAAAGACCTCTAGCTGGAGCCTCTCAGACTAGCCTCTCTCTGCAAAGTATTTATTTATTTATTTATTTTTCTATACCGCCCTTCTCCTGCGGGACTCAGGGCGGTGTACAGCCAGGATAAAACATAGCATATAAAATTTAAAAACATTTTAAAAAACAATTAGATAATTTTGGCCCGAATTTAAAACAACCCAATTAAAACCAAAATTCGATTAAAAAAACTAAGAGGATGGGATCAAGCCAGCCCAGCTGGCTTTAGTTTTAGTTTAGTTTATTTTCGATTTATATACTGCCCTACTCCCAAAGGACTCAGACGGTGAACAGCCAAAGATGAAACACATATAGTATAAAATTTAAAAAAAAAAACAATTTAAAATACATTAAATAAATTTGGCCCATACTGATTAAAACATCCCTATTTTTAAAAAGAAATTAAAATTAAACAATTAAAAGGAGTTAGGCCAGCCCAGCCTGCTGGAATAAAAAGGTCTTGAGGGCACGGTGGAAAGTGCATAAAGCAGGGCTGGGCTGAGAATGATTGGCTTAAAGTCCCCCAGGCGTCTTGATCTGAAGGGGGACTGAAACCAGGGCCTCCCTCTTCCCAGGGCAGTCTCTTCACTGCTACCCCACCCTGGTTCTGGCATCGAGAGGGAAGGACTTGCCCAGAGTCTCCAGGGAGCTTTTGGGGTTGAGGGGGGACTAGAACTTGGATTTTTCTACTCCTAGTCCAGCACTGTTGCCATCATATTCTGTTGGCTCTGAGAAGAGGGAGAGGACCAAACTCAGCAATAAGCTGACTTTGTATAAAAAAGAACATTGCTTGGGGGGGGGGAGGCGAAACCCCTACTAAGCAGGTATATACAAAAGTATGAAGGCTACTGCTTAACGCATTGTAAGCCGCCCTGAGTCTCCGGAGAAGGGCGGCATATAAATTGAACCAACCAATCAATCAATCAATATCTCAGTTCTCTCTCTCTCTCTCTCTCTCTCTCTCTCTCTCACACACACACACACACACACACACAATCCTTGGTTGTATAATCAGAGGCATAGAATCAAAATCACATGAAGTATTAGTATACTTTATAAAGCCTTCGTAAGGCCACACCTGGTATACTGCATCCAGTTTTGGTCCCCACATTACAAAAAAGATGTTGAGACATTGGAAAAAGTGCAGAGAAGAGCAACTAGGATGATTAGAATTTCCTTCAAGTGCAACAGAAACTCTTTGGGAGAGAGGCTACAAGCTACATTCATTGAAGCAGAAGGGAGAGGATGGCTAAAGCGTTTAACACTTCTTGTTTTTAACATGTAAATTCTTTTATGTTATTGTTTTATCATGATGTCAGCTACCCAGAGTCGCTCAATAGCTGAGATGGGCATTGGGCAGCATATAAATTTAATAAGTAAAGGAAGTAAAAGCAGGGACCCTATCAGCAATTTCCTACCGATTGGGAGGGAGTTTTATTTTACAAGTCACCCAGATTCCTGAGGCACCACAGAATTAAGACCAGGTTTCTTTAAAGCTTGATTTTAAAGAAAACTGTTGACTTGGAAAAAATGCAGACATGATTAAGGGCCTGGAGACTAAAACATATGAAAAACGGTTGCAGGATTTGGGTTTGGCTAGTCTAGAGAAAGGACTGGGGGAACATGATAGCAGCATTCCAGTATTTGAGAGGCTACTACAAAGAGGAGGGGGTTAATTTATTCTCCAAAGCACCAAAAGGAAAGACAAGAAACAATGGATGGAAATTAACCAAAGTGAGAAGCAACCTAGAACTAAGGAGAAATTTCCTAACCGTGAGAGCAATTAACCAGTGGAACAGCTTTGCCTTCAGAAGTTCAAAAACCTCATCACTGGAGGTTTTTAAGAAGAGACTGGACAGCCACTTGTCTGAAATGGTGTAGGGTCTCCTGCTTTAGCAGGGGGCTGGAGTAGAAGACCTCCAAGCTTCCTTACAGCTTTATTCCGATTCTGATGTCTGTCTGTCTGTCATCTATCATTTACATCTTATCGGTCTCTATCCAGCCATCTACACACACAAGCCATATGCATATGGCATGTATTAACACACAAACACAATCTTTTTTTAACTTGATGAATGTCACTGCATTCCTTAGGGCCCAAAAGTCTTTTAAAATTTGTTTCAGAAAGCCACAAAGATCTAATCACAAAAAAGAACCAGCAAGGATAAAAACTGGGGCATTGCTGTCTGTCTTCGCTCTCCAGACAAAAACAGCACTTTGGGGTTCCATCCAAGCAAGAGAAGATGATCAGTTTGGACTTGGGGTTGGAAGTTCATTCACACAAGAGGGAAGGGAAAAGAAATAATTTCTCTCTGCTGCGTCTCCCAAGTAGATCGCTAAACGGAGCATTCAGCCATCAACATGCTCTTTTCTAAACACACTGAGACAATCTAGGAACATTGCAAGAAACACCAAGGAAAGCAGTTTAGTTTTATACCTGAGGCCATTTTTCAATATATGGAATGAGCATTCTCAGCCTCGCTTCTAAAGCATCCTTTATAAACTGGTCTGTCGTCTTCTTCCTTTCAAAAGAGAAGAATTATTTAGTGCAATTCGCTCTTGCCTGCCTCTCGCGCTCGCTCAAGGCCTCTACTCAGGATGCCAAAGGCAGGTTACCTGCCAAAGCACCGCTCTGGAGCAGCCTTCCTTGTGCTCAGTGCAGCTACCATCCCACTTACTGCTGTTTGGAAGGCTAACACAGCCCCGCCCCTTCCCATGCTCTGCCTGGGACTCACTCCAGTTGGCCCAGTTGTACCAGCTTGTGCTGTTCCTCAAGAAGTTCAGAGAGTTTGGAGTTGCTCTGGGACACAAAGTGGAGAATCAGTTCGCTGCCGTCATTGTGAAACAGCCCTGCTGCAGCAACAGAGAGACCTACGGACTGGAAGGGAGGAGAAAAGTCGAGTTGAACAATTCCCACCCAGGAATAAATTTCTGCAACTTTAAACAGGCAGGGATCACAAATGAAGCAGCACTAATTTGGCCTAACTTCTGTTTGGGAAGCTTATTTATTTTAGCATATGGCATTTCATAAACGGACTAGAAATATATACTGTCATTACATTTAGATTAGTACAGGGGTCTGCAACCTTAAACACTCAAAGAGCCATTTGGACCCGTTTCCCACAGAAAAGAAAACACCGGGAGCCACAAAACCCTTCCCGTGCCTGACTATTTCTTGAGCTAGCATATGTTGTTGAATTAAATGTTCTTTTTCTTCTGAAACTTTTCTTTCCTTGGACTTATCCACCATTGGCCTACCGGGGGTTGAACAACTCAATAAATCACGTGCCAGCGGGTGTCGCACATTGGTGGTTGTGATGCATATTTTGAGTGACAGGGAGCCGCAGCAGAGGGGTGAAAGAGCCACATGCGGCTCCAGAGCTGCAGGTTGCTGACCCCTGGATTAGTAGAACCCAATAAAACCAATGTTAAAAAGATCTGTGTTTAAATATCAACGTCTAGGACTCTAGGCCATCTAATCATTGATGTGCAGCATCGCTTACATTTTTTAAAAACTCAGATACTGGACCAGTAAATGCCCTCAGCTTACAGCCGGTCACAATGTGATTTACAGTTTGGTGTGGGACTCCGCAGTCACGCTGAGGGGAGAATACTATGCCCCATTTATACACTAGAAAGTCCCGGTGAACACCGTGTGAAGTGCAAATCCTATTCAGGACTGTCCATGGCTGAGGTGGTATACTGGTACAGGTAACCCTCAATTTACAACCAGAATTGAGCCCAGAATTAATGGTGCTGAGGGATTAATATTGAGTTTTGCCCCGTTTTACGATTTTTCTTGCTACGTTTGTTAAGTGAATCACTGCAGTTGGTAAATTAGTCACATGGTTGTTAGGTGAATCTGGCTTCCCCGTTGACTTCGCTTGTCAGAAAGTCGCAAAAGGGGATCACGTGACCCTGGGACACTGCGACGGTCATAAGTATGAACCCATTGCCAGCATCTGAATTTTGACCACATGACCATGGGGATGCTGCAAAGATTGTAACTGTGAAAACTGATCCTAAGTCACATTTTTGAGGGCCGGTGTATCTTTGACGGTCACTAAACAAACTGTTGTAAATCAAGGACTATCTGTACTTGTAATGATCAAGTTGCCAGGGTTCTCTCAGAAGAATCAAGATACTGTATGCGGAGCTGTCATTTCCCCCCCCCCCTTTTCAGCTGCATTAGTGTCTCTCTTGACCCACCAAGCAATTTTAACCCAGGTCCTCGGTAATTTTCATGTCATAAAAATAGGAAATTCTGTCTTGTATTGTAAATCTACTAGGAAATAGTTGACGTACAACAGTCCATTTAGTGACTGTTCAAAGTTACAACGGCACTGAAAAATGTGACTTAAGACCGTTTTTCAGAGTTTCGACCTTTGCACCATCCCCATGATCATAAGATTAAAATTCAGACGCTTGGCAACGGGTTCATACTTATAACGGTTGCAGTATCCCAAGCAGGGGTGAAATGCTCCCGGTTCGGACCGGATCACCCGATCCGGTAGCGATGGCGGCAGGTGGTTCGGAGAACCAGGAGCAAAAATCTCTGTGCCTCCCCACCACCACCACGCCAGCTGAGCCGCGCAATCATCAGAAGCTGGGTTTTTTTTACTTTTAAAAGCATTTTTTCTTGCAACCTCTTCGGACGAAAAAATACTTTTAAAAGTAAAAAAAAAAAGCCTCTGATGATCGTGCAGCTCAGCTGGGATCGTCAGAGGCTTTTCAAAACATTTTTTTCTGCAACCTCTTAAGGTTGTAGAAAAAACGCTTTTAAAAGTAAAAAAAAAAAAAGCCTCTGATGATCGCGATGCTCAGCTGGGATTGACAGAGGCTTTTAAAAACATTTTTTTCTGCAACCTCTTAAGGTTGTAGAAAAAATGCTTTAAAAAAAAAAGTTGGCCACGCCCACCCAGACACATTACCCCCACCAAGCCACGCCCACAGAACCAGTAGTAACAAATTTTACATTTCACCACTGATCCCAAGGTTGTGTGAGCCCCTTTTGCAACCTTCTGACAAGCAAGGTCGATGGGGAAGCCAGATTCACCTAACAACCGGGTTGCTACCTTATCAACTTCAGTGATTCACTTAACAACTGTGGCTTGAAAGGATGAAAAATGGGGCAAAACTCACTTAACTGTCTCATTTAGCAACATACATTTTGGCCTCAATTGTGGCCGTAAGTCGAGGACTACTTGTAGAACCTATTTTGCAAAAAAGCAGCAAGCAAAATGTCCTAAAATGGGGGATACTGAGAAATTTCCTGCACATCAATCCTATTGACAAGGAGTTAAAAATGTTGATTCTGAATAGAATTCAAAGTTCTACACCAAAAATATTCTCAAAGAACAGCGACAGTAATAATGTGAATTTGGAACTCAGTTAAGCTAAAGTTAAGACCCTTTGGGTCTTCTCTTGATACATACCTTAGCTCCTTCTGCAATTGCATCCATTGTCCAGCCATGAGTGGGCACAAATTTCAGAGCTGCTGACAGGATCCGATTCTGTAGCTGCTCCTCACTCTCGTAGCCCTCTGATTCTTCACCCCCTTGATCTGTGTAACTAGGGGTAAAAACATAGGAAGGCATGTCTTACAAGCACTTTTAAACATGGAAAGTCCAAAGGTTTTATTATTTCTCCTAATTACAACTGATGCCATCATGAAACAGGGCATGCCTGTTTGATAAATGGTTGATTAACAGTTTGTTTAGACACAATATTTTGGGTTACAACATTATAGGCAGCTTTGATAAGATAGACATACATCAAATAAACTACATTATGACTTAGCATTTATTTATTTATTTATTGGTTCGATTTATATGCCACCCTTTTCCGGAGACTCAGGGTGCTTACAATGGTTAAGCAATAGCCGTCATCCTTTTGTATATACCTGCTTAGTAGGGCTTTCGCCCCCCCCCCAAGCGGTGTTCTTTTTTTATACAAAGTCAGCTTATGGCCCCCACAATCCGGGTCCTCATTTTACCTACCTCAAAAGGATGGAAGGCTGAGTCAACCTTGAGCCTGGTGAGATTTGAACTTGCAATAATTGCAGGCAGCTGGTGTTACTTAACAGTGCTTTAGTCTGCTGCGCCACCAAGGCTCATAGATTTCTATAAATCTAGCCAGCATTTATCTATCAATGTTGACAAGCACATGAACACCACACCCAATCATTCTAGAGATGCCTGGTTCACAAAATTGCTCAGTTGTCAATCTGAACACTGCTTTGCAACATCCTCGGAGTAAGATGGAAGCATGCCAGCTGCTGAATTACTCACTAAAATGTGTTCATTATACTTTCCCAAAGCGAATAATTGCTACTTTGGGGAAAGAAGAGAGCTCACAGTCATTTGGGACAGAAATTATGCAAATTACCTGTGGTGTGAACCTGGATGCTTTTCATCCAGGGGGGAAGATGCTGAATATTGCTGACTGGGAGGTGGGAAGGGGGGCTGTTTCTGTTCTTCTGAAACTCTTTGCAGTGCCACTGCAGGATGGAAGGCCCGCTGAGATTGATACAGCTGGCTTCGGAAGACTGAAAACAGAAATTAGTTGAGTAACACACAAACCTACCAAATCATCTTGTATGCTGTGAAGGCCCCCTTATACATTTCAGGATTCGAAGCCGAAGCCTACAACAGACCTATGCACAAAATTACACTGCCTAAGAGTAAGACATGTGTATACCCTTTACAAAATACCGTATTTTTTGGAGTATAAGACGCACCTTTCTCCCCCCTAAAAGGGGGTGAAAATTTAGGTGCGTCTTATACACCGAATGTAGCCTTGCCCACCCACTGGCCTCCACCCTTTGGCCTCTGCCTCCCAGCAATTTACCTCCTTGCAGCAAGCAGAAACAGCCCATTTCAGCTTCAGCACATCCTAATTAGCACAAGTTGATTTTCTCTTGGATTGGCCTCCCAACTCTCAGCTGTTTCAGGCTGCAGGGATTGCCATTGCCTATTGCTGTGCGGGCCTCTGCTGCTTGCTGCAAGGAGGTAAATTGCTGGGAGCAGATTTTTTTTTTCTTGTGCTAATCAAGCTATGCTGAAAACGAAAGTAAAGCAGGCTATTTACTGTTTGTTGCAACGAGGCAACGAGTCCCATTAAAATATTCTTGACTGTTGATTATGTGCCATCCATCAAGTCAGTATCACCTCCTCCTAGCAATCTCCAAGAGGATTGATCTCCAACCTGATCCTTCCGCAGTGCACATACTGTTACTGTAATTGAGTCCATCTACCTTGTTGTTTCTCCTCTCCCTTGTCCATCACCCCATCTTTCACCATGTTATATATACTTTTTCAAGGAGGTGGATCTTTGTATAATGTGTCTGAAAAAATTGAGCCTGGTCATGTGTGCCTCAAGGGAGCATTCTGGATCAACACTTGTTTCATTATCCATTTGTTTGGTTTCTTGACTGCTCATGGGGTTCTCTGTTTTCTCCAACATCAAATTTCAAAGATGCCAATACTCTTCCCCTCCTACTTCTTCTAAGTCCAACTTACTTTATAGTGTCACCAGGCACACAACTTCGGATCTCAAGCATCCTGGCACCTGAATATCTTTTCCAAGACATTCTCAGCTGCTCTACCAAATGCTGTTTTTTCCCCCCCTTCCATTCAATCATATCTGGTTCTTGAAGACTACCTAAAACAAGTCCCTGCAGGTTTCTTGGCAAGATTTCAGAAGCAGTTGGCCAGAAATTGGGAGTCTGTGAGTTCTAGTCTTGCTTTAGGCACAAAGCCAGCTGGGGTGGGGGGGGCTTTGACCAGTCACTCTCTCTCAGCTCTGGGAAGGAGACAATGGCAAGCCACTTCTGAAAACCTTGCCAACAAAACTGCAGGCATTTGGCCAGGCAGTGGCCAGGAGTCAAAAATGAACCTGGAAGCAAAAGAGACAGAGAGAGAGAGAGAGATCACTAATCTTTTGAAGCTAAGGGGATAATGAGGATTGTCTTCAGGGGCGGGTGTTTGTTTTGTTTTTGAGTCTGCGATGTTTATATATGACCATGTTGCTTTATTGAACGGTTATTTATACTCATTAGCTTTAACCTCGTTGCCATTCTGAAAATTTATGTAAGCTTCTTAAAGAGACGAGGCGACCGAAGCCTAATAGGATCAATGAATGAATGGATGAATGGATGGAAGGAATAAGAAAGCATTGGGCACAGGATGCCATTTTGCAATCTCAGGGCTTCCAAATTCAGCAGTGAAGAAAAAAAAAAATGCAAGAAAATCAGACCATCCAAGGCCCAGACTTTTTGCTCCAGCCCCAGAAGCTCTTCCCTGGATTCTCCCTACAAACACCAAGATTGGACAAAAGATCTGGAAACAAATCAGAGCTCGACTCCCAAACCCAGAATCCCTCTAACAGGCTGCTGGCTGGGACTTATGGGTATTGCAGTCCAGGCTTTCAAAGAGGAGCAGGGTTCCTGCCCCCCCCCCCGTTGCAATGGGGACTCTCAGTCCAACCTACCGCGCAGGCGCAGTACAGGGGGGTGCACCCCGGGGGGGGGAGGGGAGAACTATGTGGATGATGGGCCCTGCAGTCGCCTCGGCCGTGGATGATAGGGGGTGTAGTCCCACTTCGCCCCGCCCCCGGACTCCTTCAAGAGGGCATCCTAGGCTGATGTATGCAAATAAGCCGGGCTGAAGGGCCTCCCTCGCCCTTCACCTCACCTTCCCTTGAATGGCGGGGAGCCCGGTCCCGCCTTATCCCGGAGAGGGGGAAGCCGAGGACATCCTTTCCCCACCGCCGCCACCCCGACTCCCGCTCTCCCCCCCGAGCACCTCACCCGCCGGGCAGCGCAGCAGCCCCCGGGCCGATCGCCTCAGCCCCGCCGCGGCCGCCGCCATCTTTGAGTCGGGCGACGAGCAAGGTGGGGGTGGCAAGGGGGCGGGGCGAACCGCCGCGGGCGCCATCTATGGAGCGGGGCGTGGCCGCCTTGCGCAGGGGAGGCAGGAGGGAGCGAGGCGCCACTGACGTTGAAGGCCTCCCAGCTTCCCCCGCGCGCGGCCTCCACCCAATCAGAGGATCCGCTCAACTCTTTTTTTGAACTCTAAGGCCCACCGGTGCCGTAGGCGCCATCTTTGAAGCGGGTCGGGGGGGGAGGGCGGGAGGAGCTTTTCCCCACAGGCGGAGCGCCGCCGCCATCTTTGAAAAGGGCAGGCGCAGCTGAGGAGAAAAACAGGACGGCAGCCGGGCTGAGAAGCACGAGGGGCGACCCGGTAGGTAGCGAGGGAGGAGCGGGGAGGCTTTCCCAGCCGGGGGTGTTGCGCCGTGGAGGCCTTTTCCTTCTCGCCTGTTTCGTGGGAGCTCCAGGGACTGTCCGAGACCCCCGCACAACAACCCTGAGAGGTGGGCCGGGCTACGCTCGCCCTCAGCGAAGGTTACGACGACCGCGCCGGCCCTCTCAATCGGCCTTTTTTTTCCTCAGGGTTTCCAACCTGTTCTTAACAATTGCTCCCTGGGCAGGAGGGGAGGGATGAGGTCTGTCTACGGGGGCCTTGAATCTCACGACGAAAGCCTCAATTTTGATCTTTACAAACATTAAGATCCAAAAAAGTGGAAAAGCCCCTTATCTGATGAGAAGAGTGACCTTGTTTTAAATTTTAGGGGGGGAAATATTCAATATTTGGTAAATAATTTTGACTGCACAGACCCCTGGGAAGATGGTTAAGGTGGGATTTGAACTCACGGGGTCTCCCGCTTTCTAGCCTGGTGCCTTAATCCAGTGTTTCTCACTGGATCTTGCAGAATCCCCCAGCCAGCTGCTGGCTGGGGGATTCTGGGAGTTGAAGTCCACCCATCTTCAAGTACCAAGGTCGAGAAATACTGCCTTAATCAGTAGACCAGTGGCTTCCAATCTTGGCTTTTAGATTTGTGGACTTCAACTCCCATAATTCCCCAGCCAAAACAGGTGGACCTCAATTCCTTGAGAATTCTGGGAGTAGAAGTCCGCAGGTCTACCTGGGGGATTCTGGGGGTTGAAGTCCGCCTGGGGGATTCTGGGAGTTGGTCTGCAGATCTATCTGTGGGATTCTGGGAGTTGAAGTCCACAAGCCTTAAAAATCAAGTTTGGAGACCTCTGCACCAGACCAAACTGGCTGTTTCCCTTCTTATTTTCCTACATTTTATGCATGTTCCTGGAACTAGGCTTGGCTGAAGGAACAGGAGGGGACAAGGAGTTTTGGGGAGAGTTTAGTGTCCTGTTTCTCTATTGCTTTTGTATAAGGCAGCCCCACCCCTTAGTTGGTGCCCATAGGTACCATACATTAACTGACACCTTGCCTACTGCTGTCCAGAAGGAAAATTCAAAATAATGGCTTATTATCCCATTGCAGGTCAAATGTAATAGAATCCTTAAGTCATGTTTTATTATAGCGCCTCTGTTAATATCTATAATAAAACATGCATTGCACTGCTGTTAGCTGACTTCCCAGAATGCAGATACTGTTTTTATATTAAACTGGTGTTGGCTGGTCACTATGATTCTGCATCCTTGGCAGTGACCAAATTCTGCTCTCAAGGTCAGGGGTCAAGTTGACCCAGCGACATAAATACTTTATTCTTGCAGAGTCTTTTCTTTCTATCTGGCTTTTGTGCTGTGCTCTATAAGGCTTTATCTTCCTTTTTACTGTTGTAATATTTGGGCTATGATTGTACATTGAATAAACAAACATACTTACCACACCACCCCCGTGTTATGGAATGCACAAGAAATAATAAGTAAAGACAGGACAGAAAAGGAAATGCAGCTAAAACTATTTTACACTGGCACTTATAACTGCTCATAATGGCAAAAATGCCATTTTGGGGGCACTGAAAAAGAATTGAGCATATATCCTTGTTCTCATCTTCTTGCAATTACTGTTAACACGGGTAATAGCTCTACCCCCTTAAACCTCAGTTTGCATATAAAACAGTCTCTCTGTGTTAAACAGCACAGCTTTAAAGGAATATTTAAGGATACTTATTGTAGCTGACAGTAACTGGAGGCAGAAAAGGAAGAAAAGATTTTGAAATAGATTTTAGTTTAAAAGAGGAGGAAATGAAAATTTATGTCTGAATTATCATATCTTGCCTTTAGCAAAATAACTGTTGAGAATGGAAGATACTTTCGTCCTATCAGCTGATGTGAACCAAGAATAGTAGATTTCCTATTACTCATTTTTTTATTGGCTATTCAAAAGCATATTTCTCATGCCTTGCTTTAAGGCATTAAAAATTTCTTATCTACACTTTAAGAAAAGACTCCTTCAGATATACATTTTTCAATATGAGTACTCAAGCAAAATACAGATAATCCTCAAACTGTAATTGAGCCTGGATTTATGGTAGTGAGCAGTGATGAGCATTAAGTGGGTCACCATTTGACTGGGCCCAATTGTATGACCTTTTTTGGGGAAGTTGTTAAACAAATGCTGTGGTCATTAAGCAAACATTTTATGAATGAAGGGAAATGTACTTGTCCCAGGACAATGTTGCAAGACCAATCTGGATTGGTCACTGGGACCAGAGGTTTACTCTTCCTATAAACAGTAAACCTCTGATCCCGGGGACCGACCTGGATTGGATCTTGCAAACCCATTTTATTTATTTATATTTCATATTTCTTAATTGCCCTTCTTCCTTGGATTTTCTCATTTCCATCTTCCCATTCCATGAGGTTTTTTTTTTTTTTGCTGGGAATAAAGGTGAGAAACTAGCAAAAGCCACTAAAAATTGTGATCATGTGACTGCAGGACACTGCACACAATTGTAGATGTGAGCCGGATGCCAAGCTCCCAAAATGGGATCACGTGACTAGGGGGGGTGTGGCTTTTGCAACTTGGAAATCAGATGAGGTCGTCAGCAGCTCTGCAGAAGTCCATTTGTAACTTCAACCATTTAATCAATTGTTAAACGAAGACTATTTGTAAAATATTTCACCCAGTGTTTTCTAGTTTTCTCTATAATTGGAAAATATGCAATTCTTCAACATGATGCCTTCTAAATGTAAGCTTTTTCTGGATGCAACTCACAGAGTACCTCAAATATATTGTGTTAATTGGAACCTATATTTGCTACATTTTGTGTCTTTTATTTTAGGGAACAATGTCTGCTTTCTTTCAGATCTTGAATTAATTCCAGCATGGCAGAGTATGGGATCTCTCTCGGTGAACAAGTGGCTGTGGTTTGCGATAGTTACGCCCCTCCCAAGGCACTTCAGAAATTTGTCCAGGATGTTCAAGCAGTTATTGGAGCTGAAAATCAGGTTTCTGTAGAAAACGTCAATCAGCTGCTTTACTGTGAGTGTTCAGAAATACTCATTATCATAGTAAATATATTTGAGTTAAAGATAACACGTGCCATTTGTAAAGGAGAATTCTTCATTATTAATACATTAGAAAACTAATGCTAAGTGTTATGCTCTGTGCAGAATGGTCCTTGGTTAACAACTGCCCTGTTTAATGAGCATTCGAAATTATGATTGGTCCCTAATGAGGAGACTTACAGCAGCAGGTCTTTGAACTTGTGACTGTCAAAGTATCCCTGCTGTCACGTGATTGAGATTTGAGCACTTGGCAACTAATGCACATTTATGACTGTTACTGCATCCTGTGGTCATGTGATTGACATTTTTTGCACTTCACAGCTGGCTTCCAACAAGCAAAGTCTAGAGAAGCCAGCAGTCAAACTGCAAGTTGCAGTCACACGATGTCCCACTTAATGACTGTGGGCGACTTGGTTAACAAAAATGGTGTAAGTTGGTACAGTCACATGGTGTTTTATTTACGACCATGTTGCTTAGCAACAGAATTTGTGATTATTAAGTGTGGACTACCTGTAGTTACAAGTAAAAACTGCTCAGACACTGTGTGTTGAGATTACGTCTTTAGTCTGGGACAGCAGAGAGAAACCCTAAATGAGTATTGGAGGGGTGCTTTTTTTATTCAACAATAATTAAAATAGTCTATCCAAAATACATCCTCCTAACAGCGCGTGGCCAAAATAAGTTTACTGATAAGAGAAAGAGATACTCCAGTTCATCTCTTTCTGCTGCATCTTACCACATGGCAATATTCACAATCAAGTCAAAGTTAATAATGATAATTAACTTTCCAAATAATGGAAAATAAATTCCTTTTTCCATCTGAACAGATGGATCCAAAGAAGTTTTAGATAGCTATCCACACAATAGAAGGGAAAAGGAAATGTATAAATGCGGATAGATACCAAAAGTTACCAAAGAAATAACATGAACTGAAAAAAGAACCTAATAAAATGTAGGTTAAAGCTCATTGTCATAACACCTCTATAAAACCTGAAGCCTAAACTGTGGAGTGGAGGAGAAAAGGCAGTGGCACATTTTGGAGTTAAGGATGTGCTCTGGATAGGAGGGCACAAAACTCTTGCAGATCTTTACATCAAAGATCTACCAGAGAAACCTTTTTTTATGTTGTTTCTCATAAATTTTATGAGAAACATAATTTTATATAGGGGTCAAGGAACTGAATGCAGTCTATAACAACGTAAAATAAGAGGCCTAGTAAAGGAATCAAACTCGAAGTAAGCTACATCCAACTGAAGGGTAAAAGGTTAACCTGAAGACGGAGGCTCAGTTGTCTCATCCAGAAAGCCCAGAATCAAGGCACGCAAAGCACTTTCTCAGAAAGCAGAACATAACTCACAACTTCCAGAGCAATATTTGGCACAGAATAAGGCAACTTTCTTTGTGGAACTCAAAGTCCTTGGTTGGGAGAGTACACAAAGGGAATCTGGATATTTCCTCAGTTTGTACAAGCTGGAGATCAATCTCCACAAGAGTTTTCTAGCACCATGGTCACTTGCAAGCAGTCATTCTAACTCCACAGTTATTCATTGCATGGAAGTCATCACTGACTAAAGCAGTGTTTTTGGAACTTGGCAACCTTAAGCTGTGCAAACGTCAACTCCCAGAATTCCATAGCTAGCATGTTGGGTACGAGCATATACTTAAACAGCTAAGCAACATTGGTACATGTATATGCTTCCCATTTTATTTTCTCAGCGTCCCACAAAGAGTCCAGCTTTGATGTGGTTCTTTCGGGGCTAGTTCCTGGCAGCCTAACGCAGCACAGCGCAGAGCTTCTTGCTGAAATAGCTCGGATTGTCAAACCTGGAGGTCGTGTCCTTTTGAAAGAAGCGGTGACCCCCGAAGCAAGTAAGTCTTTAATCCTTCGCTAACCTCCGGCCATTAATTGGAGCTCTATCACCTAAGCCACCCTCACTTTTCCACTTGTGGAGAATAAAAGGCCAGTACAGAGTTGATTGATTTAAACACGCTTGTACGATAGTCTTTGACTTACCACAGTTCATTTAGTGACCATTCAAAGTTACAACAGCACCGAAAAAAATGATCGTTTTTCACACTTACAACCATTGCAGCATCTCCAGAGTCACGTGATCAAAATTCAGACACTTGGCAACTGACTCATATTTAGAAGGATCACTTTTTGTGGTCTTCTGACAAGCAAAGCGGTGGCTCAGTGGTTAGAATGCAGAAGTGCAGGCTACTTCTGCTGACTGTTCAATTCTGAGCAGCTCCAGGTTGGCTCCGCCTTCCATCCTTCCGAGGTGGGTAAAATAAGGACCCAGATTGTTGGGGGCCAACTCTAAACCGCTTAGAGAGGGCTGGAAAGCACCGTGAAGCAGTATATACGATTACTAAAGTCAGTGAGGAAGCCAGTTCACAATTTAACAACTGTGCCACTAATTTAACAACTGCAGAGATTCACTTAACAGTTGTGGCTGGAACGGTCGTAAAATGGAGCAAATTTCACTTAACAAATGTCACACTTAGCAACAAAAATTCAGGGCTGTATTGTGATAGTAAGTTTAAAACATTATATTGGGAAATCCTTTGGGAGGGAAGATATATGTACTCCAAAATGTCATTTCTTTTTGAGTTTGGCCTAATTTTTGATGGTTACATAAATACTGTACATCCATGGAGTTTTCTTAACAAATAGCCTACAAATGAGCTGCAACTGTCTCTTCCAAGAGGTGTTTTTGGCTTTCCAGTTCAGCCTCAGTAACCTTGAGATTTACTGAAAAACCTCCCCTTCCAAGGAACAGCCTGGTGTGACTCTGCTTAGTTTCTGGGCCAGACAGAATTAATCTGATGCTGTCACTGGCTGAGACCATGTGTAGCCCAGTTTGCACCTGTTTGAAGAGGGGCAGTGTTTAATTTTATCCAGTCGCAACTCCCCGTTCTGGACAGGGAGAAACAGCTTTTAAAATAGGACATCAGCCAGCCATGGCCCATCATAATAGCAATAGCATTTAGACTTATATACTGCTTCACAGTGCTTTACAGCCCTCTCTAAGCGGTTTACAGAGTCAGCCTCTTGCCCCCAACAATCCCATCCTTCACATTCTCACCTGGCTCCAAAGCTGCACCCTTACTGATTTCACCTCTCCTAAGTTTCATCTCCTGATTCCCATATCTGAACTGCAGTACTGTGGCTATTTTTTATTCCTTTTTTATATTTTAAGAAGTGGTTCCTGAACATTTGGATTCAGATTCAATACAAAGCAAAGCAGTTTCATTTAAACAGTGAAAAGAGAAAGACAGCAGATTAAGATACAATATATTATAGCAGCATATTAACCCACATCTGAAAGTGGGTCTATGTGGGCTCCATAGTGCTGGTGTTTTCTCTTTTGTCTCTACCAGAAAATTGCACGTGAGGTAGGGATAAATAAGAAACAAATGACAATTTAACTCCAGACAAGCTGAGAGGGGACTAGAGGTGAACTCACTTCAAGCTATTCAGCACTTTAATATTAAAACCTGAACGTTCAGTTTAGACAAGAAAGTAATGTAATACAGTTGATGTGAGATTTGTGAGGGCTGGGAAGAATCCTTGAAGCTCCTTCATGTTCCCTCTAATTTCCTGACACAACTGTAAGTCTTTTTCCAATGAAACATGGTAAAGGAAATAAAATACAATTAATTAAAGCCATATATGAGGACCCAGATTGTTGGGGGCAACATGCTGACTCTGTAAAGAGCTTAGGGCTGTAAAGCACTGTGAAACAGTCTATAAGTCTAAGTCCTTCCTTCCCTCCTCCCTTGCTCCCTTCCTTCCTTCCTTCCTTCCTTCCTTCCTTCCTTCCTTCCTTCCTTCCTGTTAAAATGCAGTATTGCAGGCTGACTCTGCTGACTGCCAGCAATTTGATTCTCAGTGGTTCAAGGTTGACTTGGCCTTCCATCCTTCCGAAGTTGGTAAAATGAGGACCCAGATTGTTGGGGGCAAAAGGCTGACTCTGTAAACTGCTCAGAAAGGGCTGTAAAGCACTGTGAAGCGGTATATAAGTCTAAATGCTATTGCTATATCATGGCTAGCTGAATAAATCAGTTTGCCTGTAAGAATTATAGATCAAGATAATAACAGGAGCAACATGTCTTACGTGGTTAGGACGTTGAGTTGACAATCAGCAAGCCCGCATTTGAGACCAGAGTGCTGCTGCATGGCGGGATAAGCTCCTGTCATTCATTCTAGCTCCTGCAATTTGAAAGCGTGCAATTGTGCAAGTAGATAGATAGGTACCACTTTGGTGGACACATTAATGGGGACATGGAAGGAGCTTCCAACTAGGTAAGGTGATAGCAATGGCTGATCCTTTCACCCTGAAAGCACCTTGGTGTTTTTGACATGAACGTGAACTATAGGACCTTTGGTAGCTCTCTGAAAATTGTGAAAGTACATAAAAGAAGCCTTGATCCTATTGCATTCCTTTATTAAATCAATTGTATTTTATCTGGAGTGGTATGGAAAATTCTCAGATTTTTTTTTTTTTTTTTTGTCTCATAAGTTTTATTTATGGATATCTGTTGTATTTCTCAGGTAACGATGACAAACTCAAGACAGTAAGCAAACTACAAACAATTGCAACACTCTCTGGTTTGGTTGAGGTAAAAGAGGTAAGCATTTTGATGTTATCAAGAGATCATTTTAGAAAACTGCTTTGAAAAGGCCTTTTGTTCGAAATTACAGCTTTATTTATTATTTATTGGTTCGATTTATATGCCGCCCTTTTCCGGAGACTCAGGGCGGCTTACAATGTGCTAAGCAATAGCCTTCATACTTTTGTATATACCTGTTTAGTAGGGCTTTTTGGGCCCCCCCAAGTGGTGTTCTTTTTTATACAAAGTCAGCTTATTGCCCCCACAATCCGGGTCCTCATTTTACCTACCTTAGAAAGGATGGAAGGCTGAGTCAACCTTGAGCCTGGTGAGATTTGAACTTGCAGTAATTGCAGGCAGCTGGTGTTACTTAACATTGCTTTAGTCTGCTGTGCCACCAAGGCTCTTGTAAAGCTGGTTGCTAGAAGTATATATAAAATAAGCAATACAGCAACCTTATAATCTCAGTGCATCCTTCAAAGGAAATACAAAATACAGTTGAGAAGCAAAAGATTGGATTTACATAGTGAATAAGCAAAAATGCCTCTGTAAAAATCTTCCTTTAATAGGGGAAAATGTTATTTTGTTTGTAATTAGCCATCATTGGTAATAATAAGCACTTTGTTCCGGTCTTTCCTGCCTGAATGGATTAACTGGTAAAGTAACTGGGTTTTTTCCCCCTTGCTTTCCAGCTGCAGAAGGACGCTTTAACCTCAGAACAAATTCAGGCTGTCCAGAAGCATCTGGATCTGCAGTGCAATGAAATTCTCGCAGTTCAGTTAGAAGGCAAAAAGCCCAATTTTGAGATTGGATCTTCAAGTCAGCTCAAGCTTTCTACTGTCAAGAAACCAACAACTGGTGAGAAAGTCATAGACAGATGCTTTTATCTTCTCAGATCTTGCCCCTTGGTTCACTTATGCACATTGGTAGAAACCATCCTAAGTATGGGTAAATTACAATTTAATGTATACCCCACCATTATTTTGTCCAGTTCAAGGCAGTGATTATAATCTTCCCACCTCCTGTTTTCCCAACAACCACCTTGTGAGGCGGGTTGGGTTAAGAGAAAGGACTAGCCCAAAGTCACCCAACTAGTTTAATGCCTAAGGGAAGACTACAACTCCCAGTCTCCCAGTCCAGCACCTTCGCCTCCACACCAAACTAGTTCTGAAAAGCCTAGCTGATTAACAGGTCCTGTCTCAGTTATAGACCTCATTTGAGCCTTTTCAGGGGAAAAGAATAATACTGATCAGATTTTTCCATGATTATAATTTTTTTGTTTAAATGGATTATTAAAGAATACACTTAGCTCAGAGGTATCAAAAGTCCCTGGGATTGTTTTGTATCATAGGACCAAGAAGAGGTTTTGAGGTTTATTGCATCATCTTTACAATTGTGTTCTCTGTGGTCAATTGGTTGTTTCAGAAAAACCACGGGTGGATCCCACGGCTGCAAAACTCTGGACTCTTTCGGCCAACGACATGGATGATGAGGACGTGGTAGGTGCAGAAGGGCCAAACAACCTCACCGAAAGTGATATGTAACGTTAAGTTTTCTGTATTTCACATTTTTCCTGAGCCGTCTCCTAAGCCAGGAAAAAGAGGCAAAGTAAGGTTGGGCAGCTCCACTCAAGAGGAATTTTAAAACTATTTTATATGTCGGTATTTTCTCCCCCAAAATCTGGATTTTATACAGTTCCCCTATTTTGATAGTAGCAGCACTCTCTTTTATTATTGTTGCTTTTCTTTAAAAAGTCTTTAAAGCTGTTCAGCAACTCTTTCCCAAATGTAACTACAGGGATTTTTGCTTCCTGTGGATCAAGAATTGTTTGCTATTTGTTTTCTCTGGGTCCTTATTGTCTTCAGGATCTCCTGGATTCAGATGAGCTTCTGGATCCTGAGGATTTGAAAAAGCCAGATCCAGCATCTCTCAGAGCACCGTCTTGTAAGGAATCTGGAAAGAGGAAAGCCTGTAAGAATTGGTGAGTGTTAAAATAAGTCATGGACTTACCTGTACATACACACCAGAAGCACAATAACAAAAATGCTGTAGAGAAAATAACTCTAGAAAATAGACTAGTTTGCAATCCTGTCGAAACCTTCTAAATCTCAAATTGGCAATTTTAAGTTGTGTGGACTTTAGTCTCAGAATTTCTCAGACAGAAATTGGAGTCAAAGCCCACTTGCCAAGTTTCAGAAACCCTGATTTAAAATTATTATTCTTAAGATGGGGTGAACACATTTCTTTGGGGTTAAATGAGGAGTTGGAGTTATTTAAATTCTAGTTGACCCGTAATCCGTTGGATTATCCTTTCCAAGATGCTTACTTAAAGTGATAACAGAATGACTACAGGTGAACAAAGCAGTGGGAATGAGTTCTGACTTCCTACCAGTTTCCCCATCAGCTTTGCATGTGGGAATCTTGCTGGAATGTCAGAAATCACATTCATGTAGCCACAGGGACGTTGCAACAGCCACAATTTTGACACTACAGGTAGTCCTCGACTTACAACAGTTCAATTAGTGACTGTTCAAAGTTACACCAGCACTGAAAAAAAGTGACATGGCTGTTTTTCACATTTATGACCATTGCAACATCTCCATGATCAAAATTCAGCCACTTGGCAATTGACTCATATTTATGACCATTGCAGTGTCCCGGGGTCATGTGACCATCCCCTTTTGCGACCATCTGACAAACAAAGTGAACGGGGAAGCCAGATTTACTTAACAACCGTGTTACTAACAACTGCAGTGATTCACTTAACAATTGTGGCAAGGTCATAAAATGGGGCAAAGCTAACTTAACACGTCTCACTTAACAACATATATTTTTGGCCTCAATTGGCCAAGGTTACCTGTACAACTGGTCTGAAGAACTAGAAACTTCAATCCCACAGGAGTAACAAGTCTTTGATTTTGGATGCATGCTTTAAGTTAGCCCATTTAAGCTACCTTGGTTCAAAAATGGTTTCCCTACAATGCTCCGTTTCACACAATTGAAGGTTACAAAGAGACAGGAGAGATTTAATAGTACATACTGTGTTTCCCTGAAAAATACAGCCTACTCCAAAAATAAGTCCTAGCTTGATTTTTACAAGTGCACCCAATATAAGCCCTAAACCCAAATAAGCCCTAATTAAGACTGCCCACTCCAGGATGCATGGGTAAAAATTAAGCTATAGAGTGGGGATGGTGGGGGGAGGGGAGCTGCCCTACTACTTACCTTCGGACAGTTGCAGCCAGGCCTCACACACCCCGACACCTGCCTTGCTGGCCCATTTCTTCTGCAGTCAGCAAGGCTTTCCTGATCAAAAGGATCGATCCGAGCTCTGTTATCGGCTGCAGAGGCCTTCAGGAAAGCCTTGCTGGCCGCAGAAGAAGCTCCTGAAGGCCTCTGAAAGCGAAAAGGAGGCCTGGGGCAACATGCACAAGTCAGTGGATGACATCCCCTGAAAATAAGACCTGGTGCCTTTTTTGGTGGCAAAAAATATATAAGATAGGGTCTTGTTTTCAAGGAAACACGGGTACATTGACAATTGACAATGAATATGGCAATTCTTGGAGTTTTCCCCTTTTGAGAACAAATGAGCAAAAAAGAAGGAAGGACAGACAGACATGCATAGATGTTTCATCCGTCAGAGAGGATTTGCAAGGACAAGGCCATCTTCAGGGTCTCTTTATGCCTATTAAACTTACTGCATCTCTTTCCTCCGCAGCACCTGCGGCCTTGCTGAAGAACTAGAGCAGGAGAAGAAAGGCGCACAGCCAAAATCTGCGTGTGGCAACGTAATTATTTTTTTCCCACTCTCCATGCAAACATTGTTTTGTCTAACAGCAATTAAAATATGCCAGCTATGTGTCCTACAATGATAATTTATAGAATAAGGATTTTTATTAATGAACAAATAGGCCATTGCTAATTTTAGTTGTCACTTTAATATATTTTTAGTAAGTAAGAGATATGGAGGAAATGCTATTTTAGAGGATGCTAGTTATTGTCTCACAGGAGGAAATGCCTTTCCTGTTAGAATGCTTCCAGTTTAATTTTAATTTTTAACAGAGATGCTGGGTTTGATTCATGCACGAGTTTGATTGATGGCATTTCAAGCAATTAACTAGATTTTTTAAAAGGGATCATTCTTTTGATATGAGGAATCGGCAGCCAACTTCCACATTCATCATCTGCATATGTGACATGCGTTTTGGAGCATGGTGGATTTTAGATCTTGATGCCGTAACACAATATAGATCCAAGAGAACAGGATTTGGATGACATCCTTCTCTCTTGGGAGGCATTGAGGTAGCAGCTGTGCGACAGTATTCCTCCCATTCCTTATCTATCTGGATTAGTCTTTTTTTTTTAATTTGATTTATATGCCGCCCTTCTCCGGAGACTCAGGGCGGCTTACGGTGTGTTAAGCAATAGCCTTCATACTTTTGTATATTTTATACAAAGTCAGCTTATTGCCCCCACAAACTGGGTCCTCAATTTACCTACCTTAGAAAGGATGGAAGCAGGGTGGATTTGATTTAAATCGAGTTGATTTAAACCACAATTTAAATCATGATTTAAATCACTAGTAAAAAGGCTTGATTTAAATCAACTCAATTTAAATCATAATTTTTAAAGAGCAACTGTCATCTCTGCTACTCCTTTGACCCACTGTTGACTCACCGATAGTCCCAGTGTTGCAGAATATACAGCCTCATGCTATATAACTAAACTCCATTTCATGCTGAATAAACTAAATTATTTATGTATCTTAAATAGAAAATTATCTTACGATAGATTTTTACCCCAAAAGTTTTTTATTAAAATAAATTAGATAAAAATAAAAAAAAATCCGATTTAAATCAAAAAAATCTGTTTTTTTAATTTTTTTAAAAAAAAATCATTGATTTTTATCCACTCTGGATGGAAGGCTGAGTCAACCTTGAGCCTGGCAAGATTCGAACTTACTTTAATTGCAGACAGGTGGTGTTAAATTACAGTGCCTTGTCTGCAGAGCTATCCAGGCTAAATTAAATTTATCAAATTTAATAGAGGTGCCTACCCCAGTGGGCTCTGGGTGGCTTACACAGTATAATACAGGTAGTTTTCGACTTAGCGGTTACAACAGACCTCTCCAGGGCTATTTACAACTTAGTTTCAAAGTTCCAACAACCCCCGCCCCCCCATCACATGATCACAATTTGGGTGCTTAGAAACTGGCCTACGCTTAGGGCCATTGCAGCATCCTGTGGACACATGATTGAAATTTACATTTTTTTCGCCAGAAACCAGTTTACCAGTTGCATTCACTCAAGACCTGCTCTGTTTGCTTATTGACTGCAATGTTTGCTTCACCACCACCATGAAAGTTGTAAAATCAGATATGGTTGCGTGGTGACCCTCTTAAGAACAGGCACAACTGGCAACTATAAATCTTGTCTCAATTGTGGTCATAAATCAAGGAGTCCCAGTACTAAATTAAAAACGATAAAAAATGTAAACAGAATGATATAAAACAGCCAGGACTAAAAACAGTAATCAAAACAAGCCTGACAGTCCTTCCCCTCCCCATTGTTAATCCCTGGCCTGCAACCAGAGCCAGTTTTAAGGGCTTTCCAGAATGTCAGTAGAGTGGGCGCTGGCCGTATCTCTGAGGAGAGGCAATTCCAGAGGTTGAGGGTTGTGACAGAGAAGACCCCCTTCCTCGCTCCCAGAAGAAGACAGCATTTTAATAGAAGGGGCCCTGGAGCCCACCCACTCTACCCAACTGTAATGGGATGCTGCTTCATTTATGGATTTGTTTATTTATTAATTTTTATGCAGCCCACCTCCCCTGCAAGGTGACTGGGTGGCATAAACTCCTCTGATGGTTCCTTGGAGGGAATAAGAACAGCATAAGCAGCCTTTGGGCTCTTCAACGAGTCTGCATCTGGCCCGTTTTATTTCTCTGTCCTGTCATTAATGCCAGGTGCAAAAAATCAGGAGGCAGGATAGGATTCAAAAGTCCTACATGTGTATTCCATGCAACCTATACACCAGAATCTGAACTGAAGGTCCGGGTGAATTGGCACCAGATAAGAGTCAGCAGACTTCAAGGGTGGCTGGAGTTAGGTCTCTTACAGGGCCTAGAGACTCCAGACTGATGATGTGTTTGACCCCACCCTCGGGCTCAGCCTGGTTGTCTCCTACAATTAAGGGCACCAGTCACCCTGAAGGCTGGCTGCTTTTTGTCTGATGGAGTCTCCTTCTTCAGATGCCACTTTTGTTTCTCTCTAGTGCTACCTGGGGGACGCCTTCCGCTGCGCCAGCTGCCCTTACCGTGGCATGCCAGCCTTTAAGCCTGGCGAGAAAATCCTCCTGAACGAAAACAACCTTCAGGACTCCTGAAAGAGGAGCAGCAACTCACAGCTTCCTTGCTTGGTGCATCATGGTTTGGACACAACTGGCAGTTTCTCTAGTAAAGAGGGAGGAAGTCTGGACTTGTGGGGGGTGGATCAGCAGACAAATAGGTGGCCCAACGTGGGTTGTGTTCCAGACTCGCTTCTCAGTTGGTATCGCTTTCAAGACTCCTTGACTGACATTCTTTTGGAAAGGTTTGCATCTAGATTTTGGCTGTTATCACGCGCCCTGCAGATAAAAAGATCTTGCTAGTAATTGGCATCAGCCCTGGAGCTGCCCAGAATTTGAAAGGGCAACCTTGTCTTACTGAGCCAACATGTGAGAAACCTTTCCATTTACTTTGCCCGCAGAATGTGGCTCTGCCAACCCCCAAAGAGTAGGTCGGGGTGGGTGGCGTTGGCTTGTACTCAAAAGTGCATCGTATGCCTTCATTCCCAGTTTTGTGCCAATGGGAGGATTCCAAATTATACTTGTGAAACTCTGACCTTACTTTTGGTTTACTTTGGCGCACAAAGTTCTTGACCATCATTTTCCTGAGAGAGTTTTATGCAGATGTCGCTATTCCAGGTTGTCATTGTTGCTTTTTTAAGAAAGTTTTGAGAATCCAGATTACTGGAAATCCTGTCTCAGAAGTGAGTGTAATAAAAAGTTTGATCCGAAACTGTTTCATGGCTCATCTATGGAAAAGGCTTGTACAATCTGGAGCTTGACGTCTATTGACTGGGGATTATGGAGCATTAGAGCAGCAAGTTGGTTGGCTGGCTGGCTGGTTGATTAATTATGGCAGATTGTAAGGGATCAGTCTACATACCAAAGGAGATTAATTTATTAGAGGGTTCAAATTATTGCAGAATGTCCTTCATTTCCATTGCTAGCAAAATAATGCTTAGCTTAGTTTAGAGCCCCACATGGGAGGAGGGGCGGGGGCAGATATTCAAGTTAGCTTTAGAAAAGGCCAGGAAATACAAAAACATTATTTCTGATGCGCACTGAATGATTGAAAAAGCCAACAAATACAAACAAAAATTAAAAATCTTTCATTGACAATAGAAAGGCCTTCCATTCTGTTGACCATCACAAGGGGAAGATCCTTAAGAAAATGAGAATCCCACAACATGTTGTCCTTGCGTGAAACCCATATATGGGTCACATTCCAGATGGAAGATGATGAACGAGGCTTCCAAAGAGGGAGGCAAGGCTATTGCTCATTGGCAACATCAGTCATCACAGGCCCATAAACTGATTTTCCAAGGTGAAGACAAGTTAAGAGAACTTTACTGAGTCAATCAGTTCCTTGTCTATCTTGCTTAGGGTCCTTAGGACACTAAGAATTATTCAGTGTGCATCAGAAATTTGTTTGTGCTTCCTAACCTTTTCTAAAGCCAACTTGAATATCTGCCCATGTGAGAGACTAATCCAGAGATGTCAAACTGGATTTCTTCACAGGCCAGATCAGCATTGTAATTCTCCACAGGCCGGCAAGAGGAGGGGAGACGGCACGGATGCCTCCTGCAGTACCCTCCCGACCAAAATGGGGCAGGGGGGCAGTACCCTCTCTGCCCCGTTTTCAGTCTGAACGGCCTCCTGCAACACTTTACCAGCCAAAACAGACGAGGCCTCCGTGCGGCCCATTTTTGGCCGTCAGGGGCACCGTGGGCTGGTCCTTTGATATTTCCAGGCCCACGGGCCTTGCGTTTGACACCCTTGCTCTAGTATAAGTATCATTTGCTAGCAATGGAAATGAAGGGCATTCTGAAATAATTTGAACCCTCTAATAAATGATGAGGATGGACACCAAAAGATGGGCTACAAGTTTTGAAGCTAGCACTGTGACTCTAGGTGTATGTAGTCCTTAACTTATAACCAGTTGCTTAGTTATGGTGGATCCCAAAAAAAGGGGCTTATAACCAGGGGTGGGTTCTACTTACCTTTACCACCGGTTCGCAACGGGATCGCGTGAACCCGCGAAGCTTCTGCGCATGCACAGATCACTGATGATAACATCCGGGCAGTGGGCGGGGCCTCCCACCGGTTTTACTACCGGTTCTTGTGAACCAGTCCGAACCGGAGGCAACCCACCGCTGCTTATAACCCAGATTTGAAGTTTCAGTGTCTGCCGATGGCACTCCCCCGTAACTGCATTTTGGCCATTTGCAGCATCCAATGTGACCGTATTTTATCATGTGTTTGCTGGAAGCCAGCATTTACATCTGTTTTCCAGAAAAAATCTACCCCGTACCCCCCTTTTTGATCACAGAAAAGGTCATAAAATTGGGTGCAGTATTGTGGCTGACCCCGTTTATGACCGTCGCAACTTGCCACCAAAAGTGTAGACTCACTTAGTCATAAATTGAGGACTGGCACTTTGGGAATTTTGCTTACTGTTTCAGCGGCCCTTTTTATTTTATTCCAACAAGTAGCAACTTTTAAGTTGTTCGTTTTATACTGGCCACCAGACTAATTAAGAGTGAAGAGATTTCCACACAATGATAGAACTTCAAGAGAAACCTGATCTTTCCTGCTGCTGCTTCTTTAAAAAAACTGTTCACATTGCAGTGCAAATTGATCTCTTGAAATGACTGTTTAATGTTGCTAGTCCTTTGAAAAGCTCCCTTTGTGTGTTGATATATCATAACTCTACCAGCTGCATAAAATGCATTATTAATAAGCACCATGTTAACACATGGTTACAAAGAGCAGATCTAAACAGCAACCAATTAGCAGGTTAAATAATGCAGACGCCAGTCTTTAAACATGAATTATTGACTTGTCGCTTCTTTTTTCCTCGTTTTTTTAAAGTATTTTTGTTTCTAATACTTCTAAGTATCTCTGAAGTTAAATTTTTAATTTAGCCTTAATTGCAACATGGTTAACAGTGTATAAGAAAAATCAAAGTGTTGGAATTCTTTGCTTTTTTTGTTTTTCTTTTCTTTCTATGCCTGACTGGGAAAAGATGAGATTTTTTCAGAGTAGCAGAGAGATGCAACATTTGCACTTTCCTTTGGAATCAAGATCCAAAACGTTCACATTTCCCGATAAATATGCTAACGGATCTCCTATAAACTTTTAAATATTTTTCTTGGCAAAGTGAGAGCTTCTACAGCTTCTGATGATCCTAGTTACTTCGATAAAGTGGTTAGTGGGTATTTCAAATGCCAAAAGGTTGAGAATCAGGGCTTTAAGTTTCCTAGGAACAGCATGGAAAAAAGACACCAGGGCTGGAATATCTGCATCACGTTTGTGTCAGCACTTCAAGCTGCATTTACTCTAGTGCTGACATAAGAAGGAGAAGCGGAGGTGTCTGGAAAGGGACGTTTGACTTTTCACCTACTTATTTTCCCTGGAGATAATATCCCCTAGGAGATGGGATGGGAGGGGGGAAATTCCTTTGAGCTGGAGCAGTAGATTAGGGGTAGAGTGACTTGGAAGATGGCCAATGAGTGCAGAGGAGTGGGGAACGGAAAGGGAGGGTTTTGGGTCTGGAAGTCAGTGTTGGCTTCGATGGAGTCGGAATTAGAATGTCGTGCTTAATAAATAGGAGTTTTTCTTCAAAGACTTTGTTTGAAATGCAATTTATTTGAGACGACCTCGAAACCTGACAGTTTGACCACTTTGTAGGTAGCTTACTCTTCCATGCCTTCACAGAGGATTATTTGTATACCTAACATGGCACCAGTTTATATTGTCCATATGATTGGTTATTTTTTTTCTATTGGAATAGAATTATTATGGTCCCTGAGCAGAATTCTAAACAAAAACACATTAAAAACAAAAATAATTAAAGCATTACAATTGGTGGTGGGTGCATCAATAGGAAATCAAAGTCTACCTAATTTCATAGGCAGCCTATAAGAAAACTACAGTAGCTGGACACCCGTGCTTCGCTATGAAACTATGTGATCGGGTGTGATAACTTGATACTTAAAGCCTGAAACTTAATGTAGAATGTATAACTCTGTAGCATCAGAGCGTGTTAATATAAGGCAACTGGCCGTTGGAACCGAGGGGGAATAGAATGTCCCAGCCCACAGGCTGGATGAGTCACACGCTGGCCACGCCCACGCCTGGTTTAGTGAAGGGGTAGCATCAGAGCATGTTAATATATGGCAACTGGCAGTTGGAACAGAGTTCTTTTCAGATGGGGAGGGGGTGTAGAATATCTAGCTCCTTAGCATCAGAGTGTGTTAATACTGTATATGAAATATTAATGATCTGATGGTCATTTTGACAAATCCTTTCTTAGCAAGTACCTACAAGCCAAGAGGAAGATACGTGCCAAATTTCAAGTTTGTAGGCTTTATTGTTCTGGAGATTTCATGATGAGTGAGTGGTATTTGGCTTTTATATATATATATAGATATACCTACATTCAAGAAAACTGCATCATATTGATTTCATAACTATACATAAAACAGATCAGAACTTCCCAGATGTTGGTCATCATTTTGTACTTTATAATTTAGGGAAAAGAGATAGAAATCATGGAGTGTGTATTTGGAACTGTATGCAGGATATAGTAAATAAATAAATCACAGCTCCTGTTTTGGGGGGGTTCTTTTTATGATTCCCTTTTGGAATTCACTCAGCATTTCACCTATATTGTTTCATGATCCCTGAGTTTTAGAATTTATAAATAAGAACCAAGTGCAAAAATATTAGTTTCAATTTAGAAAATGTTTCTCTAATAATAATCAACAGCAGAGTATGATGTTTATCTTCAAGGCATAGTGCAATTCTTTTTCTTCTTACGTTCTGGGAGACATGCAACACCAAGATGGGGATTCTCTAGAAACAACGCAGGCTGAAGCAGCGTAAGTTTAAAAAACCGTTGGAAATAACAAAATAGCAACAGAATAGAGAAGCGGTTCAGAATGAAGGGCAAATCCCATCCCCAAATAGCCCACCCAATATTCCAGATTATATTCTGTGATCATTGTTGCAATTTAAAAAACTATAGGGGTTCATATGCCAGGAAAGGAAATAATGCCATACAGGCATATTTTACTGATGTAATTTTCCAGTGTTTGAGGGGCTACCACAAAGGGGAGGGGGTCAACTTATTCTTCCAAGCATCTGAAGGCCAGACGAGGAACAATGGATGGAAACTCAAGGAGAGAAGCAACCTGGAATTAAGGAGAAAATTCCTAACAGTGAGAACAATCAACCAGTGGAACACAAGTTGCCTTCAGAAGGTATGTGTTCTGCCCCAGCTCCGGATTCCCAAGGATTGTGACACACACCAAGGGTCCTTATCAAAGTTATAACGTACCAAGAATAAACAAAGTCCGGCAAAGGTTGGCAACCAGCCCAGAAAACAAGATACAATAAGACACTCACTCTCCAAAATGCTGTTAATAATTACACGTTGTTTCCAGCAAGAAATTACTGTGTGCGACTTAAATAGGTTAAGGGAGTGGCCAATTATCCTCAAACCTTACTCTCGAGGAGACCACCTCCTCCTCCTGAGTAGCCACTCCTGCCTTTTGGCAGCCCTGCGTGCTCGAGCATTGAGGAGAGGCTCCTCCACTTTGCTCTCTCCACTTGAAGGAGCCTCTGGAGGTTCTGAAGGCCATGGCTGAGTCTCTGCCTCTGACACCACATCCTCTTCAGCCTCCTCGCTGTCTGACGCGAGTGCTGGCTGCGCAGGCTGCTGGCGCGACACCACGCCAGCCTCCTCGTCGTCGGGATCAGCCACAATCCGCACAGGCCGCTGGCAGCCACAACATTGTGGGTGCTCCATCACTGGAGGCTTTTAAGAAGAGACTGGACAGCCATTTGTCTGAAATGGTGTAGACTCTCCCGCTCGAGCAGGGGATTGGACCACTAGATGACCTTCAAGGTCCCTTCCAGCTCAGTTATTCTATGTCTACTGATGTTACAAAAGTAGGATCATAATTTGGATCCCTAGTCATTCAGCTTGTCTTAGAATCCTAGTTAGTGGTTCAGTCGACTAACAGCAGTTCATTTAGTAATCGTTCGAAGTCACAACAGCCCTGAAAAAAGTGACTTATGACCAGTTTTCACACAACCATTTCAGCACCGCCATGGTCACATGACCAAAATTCAGGTGCTTGGCAACTGGTTCATATTTATGACCGTCGCTGTGTCCGGGGGTCATGTGATCACCTTTTGCGACCTGACAAGCAAAGTCAATGGGGAAGCCAGATTCACTTAACGGTGTTACTAATTTAACACCTGCAGTGATTCACTTAACAACTCTGGCAAGAAATGTCATAAAACGGGGGCAAAAGCCACTTAACAAATGTCTCAATAACATAAATGTTGGGCTCAATTGTGGTCGTAAATCGAGGACTACCTGTAATCTGCTTTATATTGTTGCTGGTATCAAGATTTATATTGACTGTTTCCCTATGACTATCATTAAGTGTTGTACCTTATGATTCTTGACGAATGTATCTTTTTTTATGTACACCGAGAGTATATGCACCAAAGACAAATTCCTTGTGTGTCCAATCACACTTGGCCAATAAAGAATTCTATTCTATTCTATTCTATATTTACAATATAAATAGCCCCAAGCATATTAACCCAAGAAAGAAAAAAGCAGGCACTACAGTAATTATTTAAAATTAATTCTTTTTTTTTTTTTCATATTACCATTGCTGTATTGGCCAGCACAGAGCAAGTAACCCTTGCCAGGACAAAAAAATTCCATCTATTCTTGGAGAAAATTCCTTCCCAACCGCCAAAGTGCCAATCATTGTCACCTTGGATAAGCTGGCAAGTGCCGCTAAGTGAAGAGTTCCCCATGGAGTATGGGGGAAATCCTGAACTTTAACCAAACCATTGGCAACTCTCATCTGATCTTGGCTGGACTCCCAAGTTAACTTTAAAACAAAAACCCAAAAGTAGCAGACAATTTTGGAAATATTGCCAAGGAAACTGGAGTTATCCGAGGTGAGCTTGGTTTTAAAAACATACTTATTTTTTTCCCCCAAGCATTTATTAAGATACTCGTGGTACGTTTATCTTTTTAATCTTCTAATCCTTTTGTAACTCCCCCTTTTTGAAATAAATTGTGTTTGGGATGGTACAAGTGTTGGCCAACAATGTCAATCAGGGGTGTCCAATTTTGGGCAATTTTAAGACTTGTAGATTTCAACTCCCAGAAGTCCCCAGCCAGCAGGAAACAAACGTTCTTTTAAAATCAATCCCGGCTCCAAATCCCCCGGCCCCAAATCATGAGATACAAAGCACTCTTTGTTCGTAAGACTTAGCTGGGATTTTATTAGCTAAAATACCAATGCTAGAATCAGAAATGTCAATAGAAAAATAAAAACCGGTATTGGGAGATTTATTCTTCCCTCTGTACAAAGATTGGTTTTGCACTTGCTGCAGGGGTCAGTGGCATGCAAACGCCGTGGGCATTTGCCGGCAAGAGGACAGGTGCAACTCTGGCAGGTTTGCAAAGGAAACATTTGCCGCAAGGAAGGAGTCCCATCAGCCCTGCCTTTAAACCTTAGTTTGTGGGAGGCTCCTAACAAACCTCTCCACCATTGCACGAAGAGTGTGTATGTGTGTGTGAGAGAGAGAGACTCTCCTCCTCCTCCCATTGCAAGTCAACGTGTTTGCAAATGTAGATATTTGGTAAAGGCAGTGAATGGAACAGCTAGTCCTGTTCTTACATTTGGATGAGTAAGAGTGAGTTTTCACTCTTTATTCTTTTTTCAAGTTTCACCAAGCTCCCTGCTGCTGGGTAATAATGAGATTGCAGATTCAATTCTTCCTGACTTGGTTCATCCTTTCATCTTTCATGCTCACTAAAGCTAGAATTCCAACCCGCCGAGTGCAAACAATCAAGTGAATTCAGGAGGCTGAGGGGGAAAAAAGAGTTTTTTAACCTCCTCAAGCATCTGGCTCACGAAGGAAGTTAGAAAGGCCTGGCAAAACTAAAGGGAAAGTATAAAACAAGAGAGCTGAGAGACCAATTTGCCAGTGGAAGGAAGATCATCCAGCTGGGGTGATCACATTCAACCAGCTCCGGAACGCATCAAAAGCGACAGGCGTTGGAACGATCACGAGGTTTTTCTGACATTCTGGCCACTTCATCACGACCCATACATTAAAAATGAGAACAATCACATTTTAAACCTTTACCGTTTAAAACGTATTGATGGGCCAGCTGTCGAGAGCCGTAAAATGCACTTAAATTCGGGGAGGGGGCACAGTGAGTGGGAATATGGCAAAGGAGGACGAGCCCGATCACCTGTGAGCTGAGGCAAACTTCCCTGGCCTGTGTTAAGCCTCCTATGTCAAGATACAAACCACATTTTTGGCATGTGTCTTTCCGTAAAGTGGAGCGGAAAAACTCGCACACAACTCATTTCTGACTAGGTCGATTGAGGAAATCCTTCACAGTGATAAAAATGGGGTGGGGGGGGAGACGCTTGCAGGTGGCCTGCCTGTGACCCACAGCACTTCTTTTTTTAAAAAAATAGGATTAATTGAGCTCAGAGGAAAATGGGTTTCAGAAGACACCCCGATAATCATCCAGGAGGCTTCACAAACATTGAGGTGTGGGGAGGAGTGGGGTGCAGAGACAGGACCTTTTGGGGAGAGAGAGAGAGAGAGGGATGGTGTCAAATTCCTGATAAATGAGGAAGTCTAAAGGACATGTCCTCCCTCCCTCCCTCCCAGCAAATGAATCCTCTCATGCCCTTGGGGTAAATACACTGGGATCTGTCTCCGTGAGGCAGACTGGTGAGCTCCTGGGCAGCAGCGCGTGGCTGCCACTGAGAAAGGGCACTGATGGGATCCCAGGAGGGAGGGCAACATTGCGCCCAGGCACTTGTGAGGTCCCCAAAGCAATCCGAGCCTCTTGCCTGCGGGGAATGGAGGATTCCTGACAAGCATATCCAAAAGTGCAGCCGCTTCTTCCTTCCTTCCTTTGAACCCACCCAGCAATAAAGGGTGAGGCTCTTGTACGTTTCCCACGGTTTCTCTGGGAGTCCACCAGAAGCGAATTAAAAGGGAGCCTCCCAGGTTTCGAAATGCATTTCCGGTCCTTGCCTTCACTCCTCTGTCCCCTGCAATAAAACCACCTGCCAGCAAAATTACATTTTAAATATGTCCTGTGCTCTTGAGGTAGCAGTAAAGAATTTTCCTTCTTGGACTCAGCACTAACAGGGAGGTCAAACACTTCCCGTCGGAGGGGGGCAGGTTGATGCGGCTGCTTGGGCTGCCTCCCCTTCCCATTTTTCCCTAGGAAAGGCTTCAAACCATCAGGGTGAAGCATTCTGCACCCCGTCCCAGCAGAAACCCCACTCAGCATTGTTACCTGAGTTACCCACTCAGGTAACACAGAACAGTCACCCCGTTCCTTTTTGCTCTCTGGAGTCAAATCGGCCTCACTCCCACAACCTAAACCAGATAACCATACTTTAAAAAAACAAAACAAAACAGAAACGCTCAGGTTGGCACTTCAGGTTACAAAAATGTCACAACTTATAAACACAGAATCGGTTTTTCGTTCGAGACCCGGCGCCTGAAGACTCGTTCACCAACAGCGGTGAGTGAGAATATTTCCACATTTCCTTGTGGGTCATTCTTCTTATTCTTAGCCCGAGGACAATCCCTCAGGCAGTATCACAGTGTGGACATTGAAAGCAGCCAAGTCAGTGAAGATGATGATGATGATGTGTAGAAGGACCCACCACTCTCTTGACTTTGGCTGTCTGACCTTAGATGAGGGAGGTCCTTCGGGGAGACCCCTTGCCTCAAATCCAGGGCAAGGTTTCTTCTCAACAAGTCAACCTCAAGTTAAGCGAAGCTGTTGCAAAGCTCTCTTTCTTTCAAAGAGGTATTGCGCAAAACGGTTTTGTGGCAATTTCTCACGCTTTTGAAGCTCCTGTTCCGTGATTCCCAAGCGACACTCCTCCAGTGGTCTTCCGGGACCCAAGGAGGGAAGAGGGCTAAAGGGTAGCCAAAATCCGTAAGAAGGAAATTATCACCACGCAGAAGGTCTGTCCCACTCCCCAAGTCAGAGCCTCAAAGGGGATCATCTTCTTCCCAGCAGCTCGGTAGACGCCGGCAATTGCAGCACCTGTACAGAAAAAAAAAAGGGGGGGGAGAGAACATCTTCACTGGGCTGCCGCATACCTTGGGGGGGGGGATTTCTCCCCAAATACAGGTAGTTCTCGATGTAGGATCATAATGGGTGATGTGTAAACCAGATCTTTCCCCTGCTAGGATCCATACCCCAACAAATCCTGCCAGAATCAACCTACTTGTTAAGGTCCCGGCAGCTAACGGCCCAATGAGGCTCATCAGGAAGATGCTCACTGGCATGAATCTGCCATATCGGTGCCTCCGGAGAGTGAAAAGAGCCAGCAGTCCTGCAGGAATGTGGAAGAAGAGAGACGATACCAGTGCCCACAGGAAGACTCCATACCACATCTCTGCAGTTGGGAGAGGAGGGAAGAAGAGCTGAGAAGGACAACCTTGGAATGGCTCCCACCAATAACCTTCCAGTGCAGGGGTCTCCAACTGTGGCAACTTTAAGACTTGCGGACTTCAACTCCCAGAGTTCAACTCTGGGAGTTGAAGTCCGCAAGTCTTAAAGTTGCCACGGTTGGAGACCCCTGCTCAAGTCTACAAGTCTTAAAGTTGCCACAGTTAGAGACCCCTGCTCCAGTGCTTGCTCTCCCCATAGGCAAAGATCAAGCCATTTCTCCAAAATGGCAACATAATTAGCTTTTTCTTAGGTGGGCCCTCCAACGGTTTGAAATGGACAGCTTCCAGAAGAACCGGGAATTCCAGAAGGTGGAGCTTCCAGGTGGAGGAGATTCGCTCTGGAAGGGATTCCACATTCCAGTCAGGTTAGACCGGTGTCTCTCAACCTTGGCAACTTTCAAGATGTGTTCCAACTTCAACTCCCAGAATTCCCCAACCAGCATCGACAGCCCTTTGCAACATCCTGCGGGTCACGTTATTGCATTTTATGCATTTTGACAAAAGCAGAAGCAATGGGCTTGCTGAACCATTGTTGCATTGGCTTAATGACAAAAAAAGCTGTAAAATTGGGTCAGTAACAGGTTTATTTTATAACTGTCAAGACTTAACGGACAGGCTCCATTAAGATCATATGCTGAGAACTACCTGTACGTCTTTCCTGGTACCTAACTTTTAGTGAGCCACTTTGGTGTACAGGTATTCCTCAGTTTAACGACGGTCATCGTGACTGAAATTTCCATCACTAAGTAACATGGTTTGTAAAGTTTAACATCTCATGACAGTTCCGCTTAGCGATGGCAAATCTGGCAGGCCCGGGGACCATCATTAAGCAAAGCTTGTGGAGTGAGGAAGTAGCTGACTTCCTGCCGGCTTTCCACACGGTCAATGGGGAAGCTGGCAGGAAGCAGCAAGTCCTCTGCGAGCAGGTCAGAGGCTGCTACGGCCCATCCTGAAGGCCGCTGGGGTTGAGGAGTAGGAGGGTGTCAGGACTGTCATTCAGCTACGTTATGCACTGCTTGCTGTCAGCCTGCCATGGGGTGGGGGGATAGGAGATTGGCGGGGTGGGATAAGGGGAGGGTTAGCATGAGGAAACAAAACTATGCATCACGCCTTGTGGATCACTGACCATTCCAATGTCACACGAAGGAATGCAGAACCATCCAGCCTGCGAAGACAGGGACTGTTACCCAAACAATTTGTTACCACCTAATTGGACACTTTGGGGGGTGGAGGATGTTGGATGGAAACAAGGGAAAAGTTAACCATATTCTTTGGGTGTGAAAACTCCAGATGCAGCTTTGCTTCTTCTGTAACTACTTGGCTTTAGTAGACTTAGAATAACTTCATTGTCATTTTGAATGTACACTAATCAGCATATGTTGGGCTTGGTCTCTGGGTGTTATGTGAATTTTGTTGTATGGGTATACTGTGTATATACATACAATGACAATAAACTTTATACATATAAAAGAATACATTAAAAATGAAATTTCAAAGGTGATGGTAAATGGGGACATGACAGAGAACTTGGATATTAAAAAAAGACACTAGACAGGAATGTCCACTGTCCCCTCTGCTATTTATACTGGCCCTGGAAGTATTAGCCAGAAATATTCGACAGGATGAAGAAATAAAAGGAATGGAAATAAAACAAGAGAAATATAAGCTACAGGCGTTTGCAGATGACTTGGTCTTTATATTAGACGACCTATTAGAAACTGGACCTGGACCAAAGTTAATCAGAAAGATAGAAGAATATGGGGAAGTTGCAGGACTGAAAATAAAGACAAGATGAAGATTTTAGTTAAAAATCTGAGAGATACACAAAAGAGTGTTGATGGAAAGAATTGATATACAGATAGTTAAAAAAGTGAAGTACCTGTGCAACAATTAAAGAGGACAATTATATGAAACTGATGCAACAAATTAAACTAGATTTGGAAAAATCTGCAACTGTCATTAACAGGAAGAATAGCTGCTACAAAAATGAATATTTTATCAAGACTATTATATTTATTCCAAACAATTCCAATAAAATTGGGGGAAAATATTTTGAAGAACTAAATAATATTAAGATATATTTGGCTAGGGAAAAAAGCAAGAACATGTTTGAAAATGTTCAAGACTCCAAAAAAAGAGGGGGCTTTGGACTGTCAGATTGGGAATTGTACTACCAGGCCTCGGCACTTACATGGGTGAAAGAATGGATCAATTTGAGGCATAAAAGACTATTAACTTTAGAAGGACACGACCTTCAAGTAGATTGGCATGCCTTTTTATGGTATGAATAAGATACAAAAGTTACTTTCAAAGACATTATGTTAGAAATGCACTGTTATCAGTATGGTTTAAAATTAAAGAACAACACGACTTGAAAATACCAGTCTGGCTTTCCACAATGGAAGCATTGATACATCCTAACGTTATTAATATGAAAAAAATTGTAAGATATTAAGATATTTTGAATGAAAAAGGGGGATTAAAACGCAAGCAGGAATTTAGTAGTCAAGGGATGGACACTGCATGGGGGCCACAAATGCAGATTCAATCTCGATATGAGAAAGATGCTTAAATGTATGGTTTCATACATTGTATGACACAGTTTAATTCGGATGTATACATGTACATGGCGAGAAAAACGAATCTTGCGAGTTTACCAGACGGATGGCTGTTCCAGAATCTGGCAGTCTTGCTAGAAATACTTCTCGTAAGTAGTAAAATGTACTTTTGGCTAACCATGGGTACAATCTTCTTTTCTAACTGACAGAGTTGGGGCAAGAGGGCTGCAATATACTAATATATTGCAGCTACTTTCTCAGTCCTCTTCGTCCACTATCAGGCATGTCTGCTCTTTTGTCCAACTCAAAGGAAGCTTAACTAACTGTAGCTACAGCTGTAATTTTGCTAGGGAGAGTCGCTAGCAGTGCTCAGTTCAGACTATGATCTACGTTTCCCACAGATGTTTGATGAATGACGTGATATTATATATAACTCTTCCTTCCAAGTAGGAGCCAAACCAAGAGTATCTGAGATAGGAAAACCTGAAGTATGATGAGTATTTGTGTAGTATTGTGTAGCGTATGAGTATTTGTGAGCACATAGTATTTGTGCCCATACCACTAGATGAGATCGCTAGGGCTCGCTGCCTTAGAAGAGTGAGGAAAATCCTCAGGGATAACTCACACCCTGGTCAGCCCTTCTTTATTCTCCTACCATCGGGAAGGAGGTATAGAAGCATAGGCAGCTGCACAAACAGGCTGAAGGACAGTTTTTATCCATGGGCTGTCAGACTCCTGAATGAAAAATAACTATAACAACATAGTATGGTTGACTTGCGGGACAGGCTCGACGTGCAGTAAATTCACAAGGTGCAATAGGATTGGGTGTTTGTTAGCAGGATTCACTGGGATAGGGATTTTCTGTCTTTCACTGTGAGTTGTATTGTGTTGGGTGGGTGTGTGGGTGTGGGTGTGCACGAAGGGAGGCTCAGCCAATCTCATAGTACACATGTTGCACTCTGACAACAAAGGTTTGAATTTGAACTGAAAACCTGAAGTATGCTCATGGCACCTAAGGTCGGGCTATCAGAAATGCTTAAGTCCTTGTTTCCCCGAAAGGCTTGGCAGGGCTCCAGGAAGGTTGGGCAGGTGGCAGCAGCTGCCTCCAGGTGAGCCCAAGAGGAGGGCAAAGGCCAGCTGGGGGGCGGGGCAGTGCAGGGTGGCCAAAAGGGCAGAAATGGGGAGGAAGGAGAAATGGAAGCAGTTGTAAAGGCTGTTTCTGAAAATTGCCCCACCCACCCAAACACCAAAAACCCCAGATAAGGTTTGATGTTAAGGTTTCCCTGATGGGTCCTCTGGGGCAGGGGTCTCCCAACCGTAGACACTTTAAGCCCGGAGGACTTCAACTCCCAGAATTCCCTGCCCAGCAAAGCCTAGCAACTTTAAGGCAAGGGGGACTTCAACTCCCAGAATTCCCTGCCCAGCTGCCAACTTTAAGGCGGGGGGGGAATACAATTCCCATAATTCCCTGCCCAGCAAAGCCTGGCAACCTTAAGGCAAGGGGGACTTCAACTCCCATAATTCCCTGCCCAGCAAAACCTGCCAACCTTAAGGCAAGGGGGACTTCAACTCCCAGAAAGCAAAGCTGGGTGGGGAATTCTGGGAGTTGAAGTCCTCCAGGCTCAAAGTGGCTAAGGTTGCTCTGGGGCCCTCCAGACTCCAACACCCATAATTCCCCGCGGACGGGGATGGTCAGTTCCCTCCCATCCTCCGCCAGGAAAGACACCCCGCCCCCCTCCCAGGTGTGAGCCCCTCCGGGAGGGGATGATGGGCGGCGTAGTAGCCCCAGCCCTACCTGTGAAGTGGCAGAGGGCGGCGGCGCAGGCGGGGCTGGTGGCGTTGCCCACCCGCGGGATCAAGCGGAGGCTCAGGATCTGCTGCAAGAGGCCGCCGGAGTCGGGCGGAGACGCCCCACCGCCTTCCGCCATCCCGCCGCCTCAGCCGCGGCATCCCGTTGACGAAGCCAGAGAGGAGCGCGCCCAGAGCGGCGCCAGGCGCACTTCCGGTAAGGGCCGCTTTCCGCCCGTCGCGGTCGCTCTAGGATCGCGGCGCTCTATGGTTTTTTTTTTTTTTTTAAAATAGCTCTTCCTTTTTTTCCCCCTCCCACCTCCTCCCTTGGAAAATTACACTTCCCAGAATCCCATTCTTCCTGTTGGAGAAGGCGCTGTTCATTCACCGACGGTTAAGGCCCTCGTAGCCTTGGCCATCCGAGTCTTTCCAGGCTTCCTGGCCCTCAAGTCGAAGCCCAACTTCTTCTTTTTGCAGCGCCTCTTTCTTTTTTCCTTCACCGACCTTTCTTGCGAGTCCAGGAGGAATTATCGTCGAATGTTTAACGCCTGGATCGGTCCAATATTAAAAAAAATAACGTTCAAATCATCACCACAGGACGGTCTTCCACGGGCTTGCTGCTGTAGCGCCGGGAATTACTTCCGGGGGAAGAAAGGATCTGGGGGGCGTATACTTCCGGGTTGTCGCCTCGGGGCGTGTGATCCGTAAGGTTGGAGTCGCGCCGGAAGAGCCATGTCGGATTCGGAGGATTTTTCGTCGGAGGAGGACGAGGATTACCTGCCCTCAGGTGGGGACCCCGAGGCCTCGGAGGGGGCGCGCGTCGCTACTCGCAGGCGGGCGGTTTCGGCACGCGAGGCAGGACGGCGAGGCCTCCGGGTCAAGGCCTGTCCGTCGACTCCCAACATCCGGGCTACGCGCTGAGAGCGTCACGTGACATCGGCCCGGCACCGCTTTGGATGGGCGAGTCCAACGCGGGTTGCTGGAGGGGGGGGAGGGAGGAGAAGGACGGGATGATGGTGCTGGGTTGCGGCACCCTGAAAAGGGAAGGCGTTGGGCTGCAGACGATTGGTTGCTCGCCCGCCTGCCTGCCTGCCGGCGCCGCTTCTCATCGGCTGCATGGAATAATAGACCCGCGTTTCTCGGAAACTTTTAAGGCCGGGGGGACTTCGACTCCCAGAATTCCCTGCGCAGCGAAGTATATAAAGTCTGCGACCTTTGCTGGGCAGGGAATTCTGGGAATTGAAGTCCCGCCCCCCCCCCCCGGCCTTAAAGCGGCCAAGATTGAGAACGCCTGGTTGTAGTCTTTGCAAGGAACTGCGGGCTCCCTTCCCTTCTGAGTGCCCTGGAAAGGTGAAAGTTCCCTGCAGCCAGACTTGCTTTGGGATGGATGGAGTAAAAAAAATTTATTACCAGTTCTGTGGGTAATAAATGGCTTGGGCGTGGTGTGGCTTGGTGGGCGTAGCAGGGGAAGGATACTGCAAAACCCCCATTCCCACCCCACTCCAGGGGAAGGACACTGCAAAATCCCCATTCCCTCCCCACTCCAGGGGAAGGATACTGCAAAATCCCCATTCCCTCCCCACTCCAGGGGAAGGACACTGCAAAATCCCCATTCCCACCCCACTCCAGGGGAAGGATACTGCAAAATCCCCATTCCCTCCCCACTCCAGGGGAAGGATACTGCAAAATCCCCATTCCCTCCCCACTCCAGGGGAAGGATACTGCAAAATCTCCATTCCCTTCCCACTCCAGGGGAAGGATACTGCAAAATCCCCATTCCCTCCCCACTCCAGGGGAAGGACACTGCAAAAATTCCCACCCCACTCCTGGGGAAGGATACTGCAAAATCTCCATTCCCCATTCCCACCCCACTCCAGGGGAAGGATACTGCAAAATCCCCATTCCCACCCCACTCCAGGGGAAGGATACTGCAAAATCCCCATTCCCTCCCCACTCCAGGGGAAGGATACTGCAAAATCCCCATTCCCTCCCCAATCCAGGGGAAGGATACTGCAAAATCCCCATTCCCTCCCCACTCCAGGGGAAGGATACTGCAAAATCTCCATTCCCTTCCCACTCCAGGGGAAGGATACTGCAAAATCCCCATTCCCTCCCCACTCCAGGGGAAGGACACTGCAAAAATTCCCACCCCACTCCTGGGGAAGGATACTGCAAAATCTCCATTCCCACCTCACTCCAGGGGAAGGATACTGCAAAATCTCCATTCCCACCCCACTCCAGGGGAAGGATACTGCAAAATCCCCATTCCCACTCCAGGGGGAAGGACACTGCAAAATCCCCATTCCCACCCCACTCCAGGGGAGGGATACTGCAAAATCTCCATTCCCACCCCACTCCAGGGGGAAGAAGTCACCCAGCCAGCTTTCATGCTAAGGGGGACTATAACTCACCGTCTCCTGGTGATTGGCCCAAAGTCACCCAGGCAGCTCTCATGCCTAAGGTGCAACTAGAACTCACTGTCCCCTGGTTTCTAGGCACCCCACTAGACCAATGAGAGCCATGGTTCTTTTGAGGGTGGCATGGAGTCCCAAGCAGCTACTTCTCAAGAGCCAGGCTGGCGACATACCTTCTTAGTGGTGCTGTTTTCATATTTTTAAATCACCAAAATGGAGAAAGAAACCAAGAAACAGGGTTTTTTTTCCAAATTTTGCACCAGTTGACCCTGCGTATCTCCGGTCTGCCCAAAGATAGATGAAGGATAAAACTTTCCTCGGTGGATTCTTTTTCACGTTTCCCTCCGATGGCAATGCTCCCTTTTTGCTCAGGCCTGGCTGCTTGGCTAACGTACAGTCTAGTCCAGTGTTTCTCAACCTTGGCCACCTGAAGATGCGTGGACTTCAACTCCCAGCTCTGCTGGCTGGGGGATTCTGGGAGTTGAAGTCCACGCATCTTCAGGTGGCCAAGGTTGAGAAACACTGGACTAGTCTGTCATTCCTCGCCCCCCCCCCCACCGGATCCTAGTGACAACCTGTACCCTTTGGGTTGTGTTGATACAGGGGAAGAATACAGTGAAGACGATGTCAGCGAGCTGATAAAAGAAGACGACGAGGAAGAGCAGAAGCTGCAGCAGCCAGACTGGAAGAAATGCAAAAAGGACGCTAAAGGAATCGCACCTCGGTAAGCATAAGAGGGAATTTGCATAAGAGGAAAAGAAAGAAAAGACAAATCTGTGGTTTTGCTGCCCTTTTCGAGATTACCGTATTTTTCGGAGTATAAGACGGCACCTACCTTTTTTTGGTGAGGAAAAGAAGAAAAAGAAATCTCCCTCTGCTTCTGTCTCTGAGCAGCTTTGCCTCCTTGCAGCAAACAGCCTGCTTTACTTTCAGTTTCGTTTTCAGCATAGCTTGATTAGCACAAGGAAAAAAAAATCTGCTCCAGCAATTTACCTCCTTGCAGCAAGCAGCAGAGCCCTGTGCAAAACAGCTGAGAGCAAATCAGCTGAGAGTTGGGAGGCCGATCCAATCAACTTGTGCTAATTAGGCTGTGCTGAAGCTGAAAGGAGCTGTTTTTTTCTTGCTGTTTGCTTGCAAGGAAGTAAATTGCTGGGAGGCAGAGGCCAAAGGTGGGGACCAATGGGTGGGCGGGGCTGCATTCGGTGTATAAGACGCACCTAAATTTTCACCCCCTTTTAGGGGGGAAAAAGGTGCGTCTTATACGCCGAAAAATACGGTATGTCTAAAAGTGCATTTTTTTCAGTGAGGTGTTTTATTTGTAGAAAGTGATGAATAAGGAGAGCAATTTCATCGAAAGAGATGAAGAGCTGTGTGAAGACTCGCGAAACTCCCACATCGATTCTGGTCAAGTTTCGGATTAGCTTTGAGATAGGCCTGGTATTAGGGATTAGTATAAACCAGGGTTTCTAATCTTGGCTACTTTTAAGGCATGCAGACTTCAACTCCCAGAATTCCCCAGCCAGCATGAATAGTACCATATTCAGCATGGCTGGCTGAGGAATTCTGGGAGTCTAAGTCCACATGCATATTTCAAAGTAGCCAATGTACAGGTAGTCCTCGACTTACAACACTTCGCTTAGTAACCGTTCAAAGTTACAGTGGCACTGAAAGAAGTGACTTATGACCGTTTCTCACACTTACAACCATACCAGCGTCCACATAAGGCATATGAACAAAATTCAGATGCTTGGCAAAACCGTCTCATATTTATGACGGTTGTGGTGTCCCGGGGTCATGTGATCCCCTTTTGAGATCCTTCTGACAAGCAGAGTCAATGGGGAAGCCAGATTCACTTAACAACTGGGTTACTAACTTGACAACTGCAGTGATTCACTTAATAACTGTGGCAAGAAAGGTTGTAAATTAAAGCAAGATTAACTTAACAAATGTCTCGCTTAGTAACCCAAATGTTGGGCTCAATTGGGGTCATAAGTCGAGGTCTCCCTATAGAAACCCAGGTATAAACTAAGTGCCTTAGCCAGTGGTGGGAATCAAATTTTTTAACAACCAGTTCTGTGGGCGTGGCTTATTTGGGGGTGTGGCTTGGCTGTCATGTGACCGGGTGGGCATGGCTAGCTGGTCATGTGACTGGGTGGGCGTGGCTACGCGCATAGGGACTACTCAGAGGGCTGGAAAAAGTGGTTTCTGACCAGTCCTCGCACTTAACGACCGTCCTCATATTTACACCTGTTGCAGCATTCTTAACAACCAGAATGTTGTAATTCCTTACAGGATTAACTCTGTAAAGTGGAAAAAAACAGAAGATTTCTTCTAACAACCGGTTCTCCGAACTGCTTAACTACTTAACAACCGGTTCTAGTGAACCGGTGCAAACCGGTAGAATCTCACCCTTGGCCTTACTTAGCCCATATTTCAAAATTTGTTTCCTTTTCTTGCCTGTGTAAAATGCCAACAGTGCCTTATCTGTTGCCCTTTCTACTTAACACAAGACTGCTCAGGGTTGTCTTCAGGATGTGGTTTTAAAAAAAAAAAATCAGCATGGCGACCCCAAGGGGTGGCACCTCAGTCACGCTGTTCTGGCAGCCATCTTCACTTTTTTTAGCCAAACCCTGCAGTCACTCCCAAATAATCTTTGCCGCCATTTTAGGTTCTTGAATGGTAATTTATTTGCTGATAACGAGAGACTTTTTCCCTAGGAAAAGAAAGAAACAACACAGGCTTTCCTTAGACGTGGCTGAAGGAGAATCTTCAAAAGACAATAAAAGCGATGAGGAGGACGGTGAACCGGGAGAAAGTCACAACACGCGTATAAACGAAAACGAGGAAAGGAAAAAGGAGGAGGCGTTGTGGGCCAGCTTTCTCAGTGATGTTGGCCAGAAACCCAAAGTGGTTTCCGCAGAACAAGCTCCCTGCAACCAGAAACACACGGTAAGGAGAAAATTGCCGTTCAGACACCGCTGTTTGAAACAAAAAAGGGAAATTTCCATTAAAGTTTGTTCAGTTACCGTATTTTTCGGAGTATAAGGCGCACCTTTTTCCCCCTTAAAAGGGGGTGAAAATTTAGGTGCGTCTTATACACCAAATGTAGCCCCGCCCACACACTGGCCCCCACCTTTTGGCCTCTGCCTCCCAGCAATTTACCTCCTTGCAAGCAAACAGCAAGAAAAAGCAGCTCCTTTCAGCTTCAGCACAGCCTAATTAGCACAAGTTGATTGGATCGGCCTCCTGACTCTCAGCTGTATTGCTCTCAACTGTTTTGTGCAGGGCTCTGGTTTCTCTTCAGATCGTATAAATCTTTCGCCTTTTGCAGTACTGCATTCTAACCACTGCACCACAGTGGCTCTTTAATACAAAAAATATTAATTGTTGTATTAAATCGTTCTTTTTTTTAATAATAAAAGGCTGATTAAAGACAGTAATAAAGAGATGCAATTTGATTTGTGAATGAAGATATAATGTAGTTAATTTCCCCTAGAAAGATTACAGGAATAAATATGAGAACTAGAGTTCTGACAAGCCATTAGTCCACTCCTGAATGGTATTTTAAGCACTACCGCATTGAGAGTATTGCCCTAATTAGGTTAATGGGCTTAAAAAGATCCGCACTTGGGTGTTCTCACAACATGCTAAATTTGGTATCAACCATGAATTGTTTGGCCAATTGATTCAGCATTTTGAGGTGCATTCTGGATTGCTGGGTACATGGCCTTAGCAGTGGATGCCTTACAAAACTTGCTTTATTCCCTTCACTTTATTTGAATTGATGGTTTTCTTAAAAAAATAAACCCTATCGTCAGGGTGGATTTGATTTAAATCGAGTTGATTTAAATCAACTCGATTTAAATCATAATTTTTAAAGAGCAACTGTTATCTCTGCTACTCCTTTGACCCACTGTTGACTCACCGATAGTCCCAGTGTTGCAGAATATACAGCCTCACGCTACATAACTAAGCTCCATTTCATGCTGAATAAACTGAATTATTTATGTATCTTAAATAGAAAACTACCTTACGATAGATTTTTACCCCAAAAGTTTTTTATTAAAATAAATTCGATAAAAATCAAAAAAATCCAATTTAAATTTAAAAAAAATCTGATTTTTTTGATTTTTTTAAAAAAATCATTGATTTTTATCCACCCTGCCTATCGTGGCTTCCATCAGGATCACATCTATTGTGGATGCAGAAGAAGGGGAGACAGCTAAATCTCTCCTTGGTTTCATAGCCACGCTAGCCTTTTGCTCTAATCGGGTGGACTTCAAAACTTTTAGCAAGAGGTTCTCTGCCCAGTTGCTGGTGGGCATGGCCTAGTTGGCCTCGTGCACCACGGCGGGAGGGGCATTTTAGCCCTCTCCGGGCTCCAGAGGCGTTCCTCGAGCCTCTTGGAGGGTGAAAACAGCCTCCCCAGGCTCCAGAGGCCCTCTGGAGGCAGGAAATGGGTCCATTTCCGGCCTTCCCAAACTCCCGGTAGGCCCATTTTTCACCCTCCCTGAGCCTCCGTGCCTGGCCTGCACTTACCTGCATCCAAAACGGGCCACATGGGGACTCCTGGGAGAGGTGGGGCGGGGTGGGTGGGGCCAGCCAGGAGTGGGATTTGGGGGTTCTCCGAACTGCACGGAATCTTAGCTAGAGGTTCTCTCAAACCCCTGCAAATCCCCAGCAGCCCCACCCCTGGCTCTAATGATAACGTTTGGTTAGAATTTGGATTAACGGCTTCCCGTATGGCCTTAAAGAAACTATTAAACCCCACGGAGCTGGGCAAGATCAATGAAACTAGTACTAAAGAGAATCCAGAAAGTATTCTGGAATCTCGGAAGCTGCAAGGAGAATTTCCAACCCTCATTTAGAGGCACAGAATCAAGATCACGTGGAGTATTAGTGCCGCTTTACAAAACCCTAGTAAGACCACACCTGGAATCCTGCAACCAATTTTGGTCACTACACTACAAAAATGATGTGGGGACTTTGGAAAAAGTTCAGAGAAGAGCAACTAAGATGATCAAAGGCCTGGAGACTAAACCGGTTTTGGGTCTGGCTAGTCTAAAGAAAAGAAGGATTGGGGTGACAATATAACAGTATTCTAGTACTTGAGAAGCTGCCACAAAGAAAAGGGAGACAAATTATTCTCCAACGCACCAGAAGGCAGGACAAGAAATGGTTGGAAAGTAACCAAAGAGAGAAGCAACCTGGAATGAAGGAGAAACTTCCTAACAGCGAGGACAATTAACCAGTAGAACAGCTTGCCACCAGAAATTGTGGGTGCTCCATCACGGGAGGTTTTTAATTAGAAACTGGACAGTCACTTGTCTGAGATGGTATAGGTTCTCCTGCTTTAGCAGGGGGCTGGACTAGAAGACCTCCAAGGTCCCTTCCAGCTCTATTTTATTTTATTCTGTTCTTTGATTACTTTGAAGCACTTCCTCACAATTTTATCACTACCGCGACTCAAGTCGCTGTTTATGAAATACGCCACCAATGGACATGGGCTCTGTCTCTTGATTGTGTTCATTCTCACTTCCATTCCTTTTTTAGGGAATGGAACCCCCTCCAAAAAATAATCCTCTTATGTTAAGCTTTCTGATCAGACAGGGTGGAACTCAACACCATAAGGGCCATCTGCATTCCGCCTGGTTTCAGATCTAAACGCAAAGACAAAATGGCCGGCGTTTCTGGTATTTGACGTGCTTCAGACCAAGACTCCAAAGAAGGTTCATACGGAATCAGACTGAGAACCTAAAAACGGAACCAGGCTGCCTGCAATCTTTCCTGGTCACAGAAAGGTTGAACGTATGAATCGGCGTAGGGCAGAGCAGCTTTAAGACTTGTGGACTTCAACTCTCAGAATTCTCCAGCCATCTGGCTGGAGAATTCTGGGAATTGAAGTCCACAAGTCTTAAAGCTGCCAAGTTTGAAGACCTCTGGTGGAGAGTTTCCTGCTTAGGCAGGGGGTTGGACTAGATGACCTACAAGGTCCCTTCCAACTCTGTTAATCTGAATTTACTTAAAGGAAAGGGAAGCAGTCAGAGTCCGTCTGAAATCAGTTAAATGTGCCACATCTCTTATTATATAGAGCATGAATCTCCAGCCTTGGCCATTTTAAGACTCATGGACTTCAACTCCCAGAATTCCTCAGCCAGCTGAGGAATTCTGGGAGTTGGAGTCTGCGAGTCTTAAAATGGCCAAGGTTGGAGATCCCTGATATAGAGGATTGATCAAAAATAGTCCTCAACCTATGACCAGTCACTTAGTGGCTGAAGTTATGACAGATATCCCTGGGGTCATGTGACAGCAATTGGCATCAGGCCTGCATTTATAGCCTTTCGCAGCATCCTGAAGCGTGACTGCATTTTACGATGATTTTGCCAAAAACCGGCCCGTAGGAAGCCACTATTTCACTTAATGGCCACAGCTTAAGCTTTATGACCACTGGGGGGAAAAAAGATTGCAAAATCAGATCAGTCACATGGGTGATCCAGTTTACAACCGTCATGGATTATGACCGTAACGGGCAGGCTCCATTATAATCATAACTCAAGAATTACCGTATTTTTCAGAGTATAAAACGCACCTTTTTTCCCCCTAAAAGGAGGTGAAAATTTAGGTGCGTCTTATACACCGAATGTAGCCCCGCCCACCCACTGGCTCCCACCCTTTGGCCTCTGCCTCCCAGCAATTTACCTCCTTGCAAGCAAACAGCAAGAAAAAAACAGCTCCTTTCAGCTTCAGCACAGCCTAATTAGCACAAGTTGATTGGATCGGCCTCCCGACTCTCAGCTGATTTGCTCTCAGCTGTTTTGCGCAGGGCTCTGCTGCTTGCTGCAAAGAGGTAAATTGCTGGAGCAGATTTTTTTTTTTCCTTGTGCTAATCAAGTTATGATGAAAACGAAACTGAAAGTAAAGCAGGTTGTTTGCTGCAATGAGGCAAAATTGCGCAGAGGCAGAGGGAGATTTCTTTTTCTTCTTTTCCTCACCAAAAAAGGTAGATGCGTCTTATACTCCGAAAAATACAGTATCTTATTAGCCAGAAATATACCTGCCTCCTACCTCAACTTTTACTGAATTTAAAGTAGCTGTGAGAATGTTGGGCATTTGTATCATTTGAAGGTTGTATAATAACAATTTCAGGTTGCTAGCAACCATATAACAATGTCCCTTTCAGTGCACTTCTGTTATGGTAATGAAATGGTAAGGAGTGATGCGAATGAGACTTTGATCTGTAACAATCCCTCGATGCAGACATGTTTTCTCTGAAAATAAATTTTTCTCTGTGCTTCTGTACCTGGGCAGGAAGGACCCGAAACTCTAAAAACTAGGAATGAGATTTGCTGGGTTTCATAAAATGAAATGTGATTGTAAAGCTGAGTTGAATTTACAAGAAAGAGGACTTCAGGCAATATTCGGTTAATTGTGGCAATGGGGAGCGGAGTTTCCATCATTAAGGGACACAGTTGTAAAGCACCTGACTTAGTGACAGACCTTGTGGCACTCCCAGTTGCCCTCATTAAGCAGATCACCACCGGTTGTTAAGCAGAGGCAATCGTGTGGCAGCCATTTCTGACTTCCTGCTGGCTTCTCCGTTGACTGCTTGTTGTAGGAAGTTGTCGAAGAAGATTTCAAATGGTTATCGCGTGGCCCCAGGACACTGCTCATCACTGCCTCTCATTCAGCACTGTTGTAAGTTCGAACGGTCGCTGAACCAGTCGTCATTAAATGAGGGCCCCATATTGTCAGCCCTTTGAGGTAACCCAGACAGGAAGCCCAGACTATGCACATTAATTACCCTCTTTCCCCGAAAATAAGACCTCCCCTGACAATAAGCCCAATCGGGCTTTTGAGCGCATGTGCTAAAATAAGCCTCCCCCTGAAAATAAGCCCTCCCCAAAAATATTTAAACGCAGAGCTGGAAATCAGGTAAGACGGCAAAAGGAGCCCCGTCTTGCTCCACGCGCCCCAAAATAATAAGACCTCCCCGAAAATAAGGCCAAGCACTTATTTCGGGGTTCAAAAAAAATTATAAGACAGGGTCTTATTTTCGGGAAAACACGGAACCACTTTTGTTATAAATCTCCAGAATCTGGAATCTGTAACAGAATCTGAAAGCACATTCCCACCCACGTCCCCTTGCCTTTACTTTCCAGAGAATTAGGAAAGGTCCCTTTCAGAGATCCTTTCTCCATCTCAGCCCTCCTTTTCCTGTCCCCCAAGGTTATTCGCACAGCCCATTGCAACTACGGACAAGAGAGTGACATTCCTGCACCCCACTAAACTTATGTTTTCTTTTGATAATCCAAAATGGATTTACCTACAGGTGGTTCTCGACCACAATTGAGCCCAACACTTCCGTTGCTAAGTAAGACGGTTGTTAAGTGAGTTTTGCCCCGTTTTGCGACCTTTCTTGCCACAGCTGTTAAGTGAATCACTGCGGTTGTTAAGTTAGTCACACAGTTGTTAAGTGAATCTGGCTTCCCCGTGGACTTTGCTTGTCAGAAAGTTGCAAAAGATGGTCACATGACCCCAGGGCATTACAGTTGTCATAAATCTATGCCAGTTGCCGAATTTTCATCACATGACCCCGGGGATGTTGCAACAGTTGTAAGTGTGAAAAACGGTCACAGGTCACTGTACTGCTGTAACTTCAAATGATCACTAAAACGAATGGTTGTAAGTCAAGGACTACCTGTATTGTGCTAAACCGACAACGGATCACAAAGCCCAGATAAGACAAAACCTAAGCAAACCACATTATAGATGAGTGGAAGGTATAAACCTGTGATGGTGAACCTGTGGCACGCGTGGTGGAAGTGGCACGCAGAGCCATTTTTCCGGGCACGTGAGCCATCGCCAAACTCACCTGAAGCTGTGCATGCATGCATGCGCCCCTTCAGGCCTCTGGTGCACATGCGCGCAATTCAGGGGACCCAGCTGGTCCTGCACATGCGTGCGTTTGCGGGTGCGATGACTGGTGTGCAGCATGCGCCTGCGCAGAGAGTGTTCGCGGGTGTGCAAAAACCACACGCATGTGCAGAAGGTGAGATTGCACACGCAGCACATACCGGGGCACATGCACGTTAGCACGGATGGCACACACGAGCGCGCCCAGCGCGCGAAGCACGTTCCTGTTTGGCACTCGGTAAGTAAAAGGTTCGCCACCACTGGTATAAACCATTTAATATGTTGCATGCATTGAAAGAGCCTGAGGTACCTCCAAACGCTCAAACAAACGTGTCTTTTTTATTATTGTTTTTTATTTCCTGTTTTGGTTAGTCAGCCGATGAGAAGAATGTGTGCAAGTCTCAAGGGGAGCCAAAGGAAACCGAGAGCAACAAAATCACTGTCACTAAAGTGTTTGACTTTGCTGGCGAAGAGGTGAGGTGAGTTCCGCCTGTTCCCTTTGCGTTCAGCTGCTCCATTCAAACAGCAGGGGACAAGGGCCATGTTATAAATTGCTTTTTCCCACAAAACCTTAAAACATTGCACAGGATTGTAAAACGGCAGAGTTGTATTAAGGTACACATACAATAGGCAAATAGGAGTGGTGCGATGGCCTACAGGCGAAGCTCTCGCCTCACAATCAGCGGGCTGTGAGTTTGATCCTAGGTAGAGGCAGGTATTTCTCTCTCTGGGCACACTGAGAATATATCTGCTGAACAAAACTCCGCATTGGCGACAGGAAGGGCATCTGGCCATTAAAACACTCTGTTAGATCCATTCAGTTGCCCAGACTGCACCCCACAAGGGATTATGGGGTCGTGAAAAGAAGATGATACAATAGGCAGATAAGTGCCTGTTTGGATTTCCTCAAAGCTGGAAACCTTTTGATTGAACGGATCACCTTAAATTCTGCTTTAAGTCCCAAAAAGTGCTTCTTTGTAAAAGGCAACTGGACTTTCTCAGCATTTTCTTTGGAAACATTGTAGAGATGCTTGGATGAGTGTCAGGTTTCGATGCTATCTCAAAATAAATGAATTTCCAAACTGCCGATCTTTAAGGAAATTTTCTCTTTATTTGAGCACAGCGATCTGACCCTGGCTCTTTCGCGGTCAGTACTGACCTTTGCCCCCCAATCCCTCCCTTTCCGATCCCCAATTCTCTGCTTCTCATTGGCTATCTTCCAAGTCACTTTCCTGATCCCTTCTTCGTCAGATCACAGGAATGTCTCCCCCCCCTCCCGTCTCCGAGGAGACAGAATCTTCAAAGGGATTTAGTAGGCAAAAGTTCAAGCTTCTCCTCTCTTTATATATGTCAGTGCTGGGACGCTGACATTGAGAAGGGAAACGTCTTCAAGGAAAAACTAAGTCCAGTTGCCTTTGGAAAAAGCACCTTTGGGACAACCATGACCTGGATGACTGAGGATCTCCATAAATCAGAGGTCTTCAAACTTGACAGCTTTAAGACTTGTGGACTTCAATTCCCAGAATTCTCCAGCCAGCTATGCTATGCTATGCTGTACTGGGAGTTGAAGTCCACAAGTCTTAAAGCTGCCAAGTTTGAAGACCTCTGCCATAGATACTCAAAGCTGGTAGGTTAGCCCATTTTGGGCTGCTGTTTCAAGACTCGCCAAGAAGCTCTTCGAAACCCCAGTGAGAAATTGGGGGGCAACCCCAGTAGTCCTTCAGAAATTCTGAAAAGTAATTCAGAATCTGACGGGCTGGTGTTCAGGGCAAGGGCTGCATTGTCCTTGCCCTGAACCTTGGTGGCGCAGCGGACTAAAGCGCTGTTAATTAGCACTTAGCTGCCAGCTGCCTGCAATTACTGCGAGTTCAATTCTCACCAGGCTCAAGGTTGACTCAGCCTTCCATCCTTCCTAGGTAGGTAAAATGAGGACCCGGATTGGGGGGGCAATAAGCTGACTTTGTATAAAAAAAGAACACCGCTTTGGGGGGGCCGAAAGCCCTACTAAGCAGGTATATACAAAAGTATGAAGGCTATTGCTTAACGCATTGTAAGCCGCCCTGAGTCTCCGGAGAAGGGCGGCATATAAATCGAACCAATAAATAAATAAATAAATGTCCACGTTTTTTAGTTCCAAGACCTGGGAAGGAAATGGCTGCACTCAGTTTGGGAAGCTGAAAGTCCAGAAAACTGCCCAAACCTCTGAGAAATATTCAGAGCAACCTCGGTGAGGCACAAGGAGAAGCTTGAAGATCTGGGACTGAAGAGAGGGTAGCTTGTTGCTCTTCCTTAGAGGTTTGGGAAGGAAACTGGGCCAGTTGCATTGGGAAGTGAAGGCTTTGCATAACAAGAAGGTGGAATTGAGTTTTGCATTAAGCAGAGTTCCCTAAATAAAAGATTCAGACTGGGATAAAATCATCTTCCTAGAGCAGGGGCAGGGAACCATGGCCCCTTTATGACTTGTGGACTTCAACTCCCAGAATTCCTGAGCCATGGCTGGCTCAGGAATTCTGGGAGTTGCAGTCCACAAATCATAAAGGGGCCATTCTTGGCCACCTCTGTCCTAAAGGGATGCTATGGTTCCTCCCTATAGGATAGGATAGAACAGAATATTGGAATGGAATGGAATTAGGAATAGAATGGAATGGAATAGGATAGGATAGGATGGGGAGGGGAGAGGAGAGGAGAGGAGAGAGGAAAGGAAAGGAAAGGAAAGGAAAGGAAAGGAAAGGAAAGGAAAGGAAAGGAAAGGAAAGGAAGAAAGGAAGGGAGGAGGGAAGGAAGGGGAGGGAGAAATAAGAGAAGGAGGAAAGGAGTAAAAAGAAAGGAAATAATGAACAGAGAGAGGGAAAGGAGAAGGTGGAAGGAAGGAGGGAAGGGAGGCTGGAAGGAAGGAAAGGAAGGAAGGGGAGGGAGAAATGGAGAGAAGGAGGGAGGGAGTAAAAAGAAATGAAAGAATGAACAGAGAGAGGGAAAGGAGAAGGGGGAAGGAACGAGGGAAGGGAGGCTGGAAGAAAAGGAAAGCAATGGAATAACTTTATTGTCACTTTGAATGTACACTAATCGGCATACATTAGGGAAAAATGAAAGCAGGAATCTGTCAAGGATGTTGAAAAGGGAGGGGTGAGGCAAATACCTTACAAGGTCATGCAGAAAGGAAAAAACAGACGGGATCAAAACAACATGAGAAAAATCAATTTACGTAGGTGGTTTATTTAGCCTTTATCTCAAAACGTGATTATTTAACTCAAGGAATTACTTTTCAAACAAGTTCCCCGTGATAGTGCGAGGTAGAATTCCAGCATTCAGAAGCCAGTATCTGGCTTGTAATTGGAAAAAGATTATGTTTTTGAGATTAACCATTGTTTGTTTGTTTTTCCCCGACTTGACCTTTTTACCGTGTGCTCGGTGTGTCTGCAAATCCGTTCCTTGGCAGTTATCCATTCCTTCGCAGAGTGGAAATGCTAATTTGCTTCTTCAAGCACAACCGTTTGATAAGCCCCAAAGTTTGCGGCTGCTTTTTAGTTTCCTGGAGAAAAAAATATATCCATTCTCTGCCTTTTTGGGAATTCAAGCCAGGGGTACAGATTTGTTCAGTCAAAACTTTCTGCCTGCCACTTTTGGCAGCTGTTCCTCATTCTATAAATTGGGAAAAAACTTCAGTGCCTAGAACAGCTTTGTAATTTTTTGAGGGGTAGGGGTGGGGGGGTGATAATTGTTGGTGGTTGTCGTGCATTTTAATCTGCTCAGAGAGCACGTGCTCTCGGGCAGATTAAAAGAAAACAAGTCCCATCGTATTTTGGCTGCATAGCATAGGGAGCACGTTGGATCAAACATTTATTTATTTATTTATTGGTTCGATTTATATGCCGCCCTTCTACGGAGACTCAGGGCGCCTTACAATGCATTAAGCAATAGCCTTCATACTTTTGTATATACCTGCTTAGTAGGGCTTTTGCCGCTCCCCCCCCCCAAAGCGGTGTTCTTTTTTATACAAAGTCAGCTTATTGCCCCCACAATCTGGGTCCTCATTTTACCTACCTCAAAAGGATGGAAGGCTGAGTCAACTTTGAGACTGGTGAGATTTGAACTCGCAGTAATTGCAGGCAGCTGGTGTTACTTAACAGCACTTTAGTCTCCTGTGCCACCAAGGCTCTTATATACGTTCTGTTTCCCTGCAGCCATCTGGAAACTCACCAATAATTAGGGTGTGTCCTTCGGAAAACTTTCCCGACTGAGTCTGGATTCAGAGACAGGCTGTTTCTGCTCTAAAAGTGACCTTAGCAGGCATTCATAGCTAGGCGTTTGGTTTATTTCAGGGGTGAAATACTCCCGGTTTGGACCGGATCGCCTGATCCAGTAGCAATGGCTGCGGGTGGTTCAGAGAACTGGTGGCAAAAATCCCTGCGCCCCCCCCCCCAACCCCATCAGAGGTTTTTTTTTTTTTTTAACTATTAAAAGCGTTTTTTCTACAAACTCTTCCGCCGAAAAAATGCTTTTAAAAGTAAAAAAAAAAGCCTCTGATGATCGTGCGGCTCAGCTGGGATCGTCAGAGCCTTTTAAAAGCATTTTTTTCTGCAACCTCTTTGGCCGAAGAGGTTGTAGGGGGAAAAAAAACGCCTTTAAAAGCCTCTGACGATTCCAGCTGAGTTGCCTGATCGTCAGAGGCTTTTAAAAGCATTTCTTTCAAAAAGGTTGGCCACGTCCACTCAGTCACATTACCCCCCCCCACCAAGCCACACCCACAGAACCGGTAGTAACAAATGTTACATTTCTCCCCTGGTTTATTTCCTAGACACACACACACACACACACACACACATGGAGAGGGAGGGAGAGATACCACTTCTGAGTTATCCCAGTTGGCAGCTGTTCTGTTTTCTGAATAGCAAATTCCAGAGTGCACATATGTCCAAAGTCTGTGATGGCAAACCTATGGCACGCATGCCACAGCTGGCACACAGAGCCTTCTCTGTGGGCACGTGAGTCATCACCCAGCTCAGCTCTACTGCACATGCGTGCTCGTGCCTGCTGCCGGCCAGCTGATTTTCAGGATGCGTGGGGGACGGCGCATGCGGGAGATGTGCACGGGGGATCACACATGCGGGGGCGGGGGTCACACGCACATGGGCAGGGGGAAGGCAGGGGATGCGGCCTCCCCCCCTCCCTCCGGCCCTTTCTTGGGCCCAGGAGGCTCCCAGGAGTCTCCACACGGTCTGTTTTGGATGCCAGGTAAGTGCAGGGCCCACACAGAGCCTGGGGAGGGTTGAAAAACAGGTCTTCCAGAAGTCTGGAAACGGGCCCGTTTCCGGCCTCCGGAGGGCTTCCGGAGCCTGGGGGAGGCCATTTTCGCCCTCCCGGAGGCTCGAAAGAAGCCTCCGGAGCCTGGGGAGGGCGAAAACAGGCCCTGAGCTTAGTTGTTTTCTTGCAAATGTTTCATTACCCAGCTAGGTAACATCGTCAGTGCTAGAAGGGAGGAGGGTGTGGAAGAGTGGATGAGGAAGAGGAGAAGTTCTGTGGGATCCTTGATGCTCTCTGAGCTTGGTTCAGAGATGATATTCAGCCAGTTCAGACCGGTTTGGGCAAACCGGTAGTGGCGACCCTGGCGTAATGCCATTGTATTTAGCCACGTTTCCGAGGCTGGGCACATGCGTGGAAGGCGTGTGTGAAGCAAGGGTGCACGCGCAGGACAAACCAGTGGTAAAAATATGCGAAACCATCTCTGGCTTGGCTGTTTTCTTGCAGATGTTTCATGACCCAAATCAAGTAACAGCTGCAGTATATCTTGATATGCCTTTCAAGAGTTGATTGAATAGGTTTCCCCACTTGCCGCCTTCCTTGGCTGGTTGAAGGAGGGTGGGAAACATTCTCCGCACAGGGGTGGGTTCTAAAAATTTTTACTACCGGTTCTGTGGGCGTGGCTTATTTTGTGTGCGTGGCTTGGTGGGGGGGTAATGTGACTGGGTGGGCATGGCCAACTTTTTCTTTTTCTTTTTAAAAGCATTTTTTCTGCAACCTTAAGAGGTTGCAGGAAAAAAATGCTTTTAGAAGCCTCTGACGATCCCAGCTGAGTTGCCTGATCGTCAGAGGCATTTTTATTGGTTTTTTTTTTTTACTTTTAAAAGCATTTTTTTGGTCGAAGAGGTTGTAGAAAAAATGCTTTTAAAAGTAAAAAAAAGAGCCTCTGATGAGGTAGGCGGGGTAAGTGAGCGGCGACCGGGCTGGGGACTGGTTTGGGGGCATGGCCAGCCAATGTTATTACCGGTTCTCCGAACTACTACAAATTTTTACTACTGGTTCTTGCGAACCAGGAGCAACCCACCTCTGATTCCGCATCTTCTTAGCTGAAGCTTTTTTGGAATTGTGCATGCAATTGTGCAGACAAGTCCAGGCCCACACTTCCAGAGATCTTGCAGTCAGAATTCAAAATGGGGACCGAATTGGAAGGAATGGCTTCTGCTTTAATATCCTGTTTCCTTTTCTGTCTTTCATCCCTCTGGCAGGGTCACCAAGGAAGTAGACGTTGCTTCAAAGGAAGCCCAGCTCTTTCGGAAACAGCTGGAGCCGAATGTGGCAACCCAGACATCTCATCCGACTGTTTCGGGGTAAGATCCTGAGAAACTCTGTTCATCCAGTGCAGGTCGCACAAATGCGGGGATTGAGGGAATTGCAATGGCATCTTTAGAACCAGCGGGAATCGGCTGACTTGCTTAAGAGCCTCCTGGATGTCACTATCAGGGAGATTCCTTCTTCCTCGCCCAACCTAGAAAGGAAATGGATGGATGCAGTGGAGCAGTCCCCTGAGTTTTATTTGGCAGGGGAGGGAAGATTCACACTGCTATTGTCAGCCATCCCAACTTAGTTAGACAAGAAAGACTCTTTTTTTTTTTGGAAATTTTATTTATTTAAAGATACAAACAAAACAAAACAAGTAAAAACAAGACATACAAAACATATACACAGAAAAAAAAGGTATAATCATATCAAAGTTATCGCAACTGTAGTCTGTTATGTAATTCTCATTTGTATGTTTGACTCCTCTCTCATTGGGTCCTTTATGTTGTATTTAAACTTTTTTAAGTCCCTGTTGGCCTACGGTAAATAATTTGTGTTTCTATGTCTATCTTGAATTCCACTAACCACTTCCTAGTTCTGTTTTTTCCTTTTCCTATCTTCCAACCAAGTGTACCACTTGTCCCATACTAAATAGTAATCATGTTCTTCCTTATCTTGAAGTTCCTTTGTGAGTCTGTCCATTTCTGCACACTCCATGATCTTGCTAATTACTTTCTCCTCGCTTGGTATGTCATTACTCTTCCAATTTTGTGCAAAAATTATGCGTGCTGCTGTTGTTATGTGAATTATTAGGTATTTTATTTCCTTTTCATATTGTCCAGATATAATGCCTAGTAGGAAGGTTTCTGGCTTCATTTCTATTCTGTGTTGTGTGATTTGTTCTATTTGTGTTTTGATCATTCGCCAGTATTGTTTTGCCTTTGGGCAGGTCCACCATGTATGATAGTAAGTTCCTTTATTTAATTTACATTTCCAGCATGTTGAAGATGTGTTAGGAAACATTCTTGCCAATCTGGCCAGGGGGAGATGCCATCTATAAAACATTTTAAGCAAGTTTTCCTTATAGGGTACAGACATTGTCAATTTGTAGTTTATTGTCCATAATTTTTCCCACTTATCTAATTCGATGTTATGGCCGAAATTCTTTGCCCAGCTTAACATATTATCCTTGACTACCTCCTCTTCTAATTTATATGCTCGCAAATAATTGTAAACTTTTTTTATCAATTTATCCTGTGGTCCTTGTAAAATTTTGTCTAGCTCGTTTTGGCCTTTTTGGAATTCAAATTGGGTCGAATCCTTCTGATATCTTGATTTTATTTGTAGGTAACGCCACCAGTCAATGTCTATACCCATCTCTTGTAATTCTTTAGACAAGAAAGACTCTTGACTCCATCAGTAGTGAAAGTACACTTTACTACTAAAGCCAAATGGTTACAGAAGAAGCAAAGCCAGATCGGGTTTTTCGCACCGAAAGCATCTGGTTAACTTTTTCCTTCTCCCCACCTTCTTCCCTTCCACTGTCAGGAAATTCTTCCTTCATTCCAGGTTGCTTCTCTCCTTGATTAGTCTCCACCCATTGCTTCTTGTCCTGCCCTTAGGTGCTTTGGAGTATAAGTGGACCCCTCTTCTTTGTGGCAGCCCCTCAAATATTGGAACGCTGCTATCCTGTCACCCCTGCTCCTTCTTTTCATCAAACTAGACATGCCTAATGTTTTAACTTCCAGTCCCCTACTCATTAAAATTTCAGAGGCAGGACAGAGGCTTCTGTTGTGACTAGGCCCAAGTAGGTATTATCAGACTCAATCAGTTCGAAACAAACAGACTTTATTAGGACAGCTGAGAATTAACTCATTCTCAGCGTAGTCCAAACTAAATCAAAACAAATTCTTCATAACACAAATTCTTCAGTCTAATCACCGACCTTGGGATAATTAGGCAAACTGCCAAAGGCTTTTCTTGGCAAAAGTTCAGGAGCAGAAGATGCCGACAAGAAATAAATGCAGCAAGACAAGAAACAAATCTATCAACGTTGTTTTCTGGCAAAGAGGCCAAGAGCCCTTGCTGGTCTTTTAAGCCTTATGGGAGGGGCCAATCATCTCTTGGCCTTACTCCCGAGTCGTCCTCTCTGCTTTAGCTACTCTTGCCTTCTGGCAGCTCTTCTCATACGTGCACTAGGAACAGGCTCCTCCTGTTCCTCTGCCTCTCTACTGTCAGCCTCTGGAGGCTCCGGAGTCCGCACCTCACTCCCCGATGGCCCTGGCCCCATCTCTGCCTCTGACGCAGAGCCCTCATCCGGGCCTTCCCCAGCCTCCAGGCCTGGCCCATGTTCTTCCTCAGCCTCATTGCTGTCCGACTCCGCTGCCAGCTCTGCAGGCTGCTGGCAGACCACAACAGCTTCATCATTCATTGTTTATCGTTTTAATTAATGGGGCCAAATCTATATATATTTTTAACTGTATTTTAATATTTGTATTTGATGTTTTTATTTGGCTGTTCACCACCCTGAGTCCTCAGGGAGAAGGGCGGTATACAAATTCAAAATAAAATAAAATAAAAATAAAAATTTATTTTTATTTCCAAATTCCAGGTGTCTTTTGACCGCAGGCCCTGTTGCTATAACAGGCAGAACCTTCCCGCTAATGAGATTGCAGTTAGGAGAATAGTCCAGTCATGTTCCGTCTAATCCTCCTCAGTTTGCATAATCCTAGTTAGCCTGAGTGCTGGATCCTGTCTTACATTTGCCAGGTATCCTTATCCCAAACGGCTGCTTATGATGGATGGGAATTGTAGCCAGGTATTTGTAGGGCCCGGGGCTGAGAATTTATTTGTCTGTTTGTATCCTGCCTTTTGTTCAGGGTGGATTTGATTTAAATCGAGTTGATTTAAATCACAATTTAAATCATGATTTAAATCACTAGTAAAAAGGCTTGATTTAAATCAACTCGATTTAAATCATAATTTTTAAAGAGCCACTGTCATCTCTGCTACTCCTTTGACCCACTGTTGACTCACCGATAGTCCCAGTGTTGCAGAATATACAGCCTCATGCTACGTAACTAAGCTCCATTTCATGCTGAATAAACTAAATTATTTATGCATCTTAAATAGAAAACTATCTTACGATAGATTTTTACCCCAAAAGTTTTTTATTAAAATAAATCCGATAAAAATCAAAAAAATCCGATTTAAATCAAAAAAATCTGATTTTTTTGATTTTTTTAAAAAAATCATTGATTTTTATCCACCCTGCTTTTGTTATTTTTACAAAAAAACTCAAAAGCAGCGAACAAAGACTTTCCTCCTATTTTCCCCACAACAACAACAACAACATCAAACCTGTGGGTTGGGGTGAGGGAAAGTCACTGGCCCAGTCACCCCGTTGGTTTTCATGAGTAAGGCAGGACTTGAACTCGCCGTTTCCTGGGGATTGGCCCAAAGTCACCCAACTGGCTTGCTAAAATTTATTTATTTATTTATTTATTCATTCATTCATTCATTCAATTTATATACCGCCCTTCTCCTATCACCGCCCACTCAGGATAAGGATAAAAGACATACCAATACAAAATTTAAAATCAGTTCAAAGAATTATACACCTTTGGCCCACAATTTAAAACAATCCAATTAAAACCCAGTTTACACTTAAAAAGCTAAAAAGAGCTAAAAAAGGGTGTGGGGGGGGTTTCACGCCAGCCCTGCTTGATGAAAAAGAAAAGTTTTCAGGGCATGGCGAAAGACCCGGAGATCCGGTATCCTTCGTATCTCCGGGGGCAAATCTTTCCAGAGGGCAGGAGCTGCCACAGAGAAGGCCCTCCCCCTGGGGGTCGCCAGCCGACATTGCCTGGCTGACGGCACCCTGAGGAGTCCCTCTCTGTGGGCGCGTACTGGTCGGTGGGAGGCTATCGGCCACGGGACACGGCTATCGGGACACGAACTGACAGTTTCCCACTTTCTTATCCAGTGCTTTAAGCACTAGACTAAACATGGTTTTCAAATGTCCCGATTCACTTTAAACAGTTGCAACCTTCTGCATTTGCAAATAATTTAGGCAGTTAGCTGATATAATCTAAGATTGGGGTCACAGAGCATGCTAAATAATTAGGGTTCTTTTTCTTTCAATTCCCTTGTATCCAATTCTCTAATACTGCTGGGACAAGTCCCTGCAGTTTTCTTGCCAAGGTTTTCCAGAACTGGTTTGCCATTGCTTCCTTCCTAGGGCCGAGAGAGAGTGACTGGCTTTGTGCCTAACGCAAGATTAGAACTCAGGGCCTCTCGGTTTCTAGCCTGAGGCCTTAACCTCAATGCCAAACTGGCATTCAAATACTAATTAACAGAACATAATTGCTACGTTCATAGCACATGCTTCATCTAAAAGCAAATTATCTCATACTCCAGCATGTTTTCCACAATGCAGTGAGTCAGTACCTGGCTTCCTACAACTGGCCAAATCTTGTGTTGGAGTACAGATAGTCCTTGACTTACGACCAAAACTGAGCCCAATATTTATGTTGTTAAATGAGAAATTTGTTAAGTGAGTTTTGGTCCATTTTACGACCTTCTAGCCACAGTTAAGTGAATCATTGCAATTGTTAGCCTAGTAACTTGGTTAAGTGAATCTGGTTTCCCCATTCGCTCTGCTTGTGAGAAGGTCACAAAAGGGAATCACATGGCCCCAGGACACTGCAGCGGTCGTAAATAGGAACCGGTTTCCAAGCATTCGAATTTCATCACGTGACTATGGGGATGCTGCAACCGTCATAAGTGTGAAATGTGGTCATGAGTCCCTTTTTTTCAGTGTAACTTTGAACAGTCATTAAATGAACAGTCACTAAATGAACAGTCACTGAATGAACCCAGCCCAGGTGTTTGTGGAAATCCTCACAGCATATGGAGCGTGGGGTCTGCATAATGAATAAATTCCTGTCCTACGGAGTACAATAGAATAGAATAGAATAGAACAGAATAGAGAATGGAAGGGAAGGGAAGGGGAGGGGAGAGGAGAGGGGAGGGGAGGGGAGGGGAGAGG